TTAAGTTACTGTAAACCAAGTCATTTCCTGTTGCCAGCAGGTGGCGCTATGATTATAACTGAATATTGGCACATAAATGTTTTCAGGCCAAGACTCTTATCAAACATGTGAAGTTTGGGGCAGACTGGACTTTGCATGTTCAAGTTAGTGTAAAACAAGTCATTTCCTGTTGCCAGCAGGTGGCGCTATGATTATAACTGAATATTGGCTTTAAGATGTGTTCAGGCCAGGACTCTTATAAAACGTGTGAAGTTTGGGGCAGATTGGGCATTGCATGTCTGATTTACAGCAACTTCCTGTTTCATGGCGAAACATCAAATTTTGTCAGGCCGCCAGGGACACACCCTTTGACGAAAACTCAAGATCTTCACAATTTAACGTCACAAAGGCCTTATGATAACCCTCACCAAATTTGAAGATGATCCGATTAAAACTGTAGGAGGAGTTCGTCAAAGTACGAGGCCTGGAAATGGCAAAAACTGCACAAAAATTGTAATTGTCAAAATAACGTACTTCCTGTTGGGTTTTGGATTTTGTACCAAGAGACTTTTTTGCAGGTAATGGTGTGTTAAGCCGGGCATACACCGTGCGATTTTCGTCCGATTTTGAGACGAATTTTGGTTCGTGCGACACTTTTTTGAGTCAGGCCAAATTTCAGCTTTGTCATACATCGTTTGTCGTGCAGTGTTCGTGCCGTGTACAGGGGAAACCGAGAAGCGATAAGTCTCTCCCGACAGGCAATCGGGCGGTCGGATGAATTTCTGACATGTCGCCCCTCGTGAGGGTATCGCACAGTTGAAGCAGAGCTACGAACCGACTGCCCTAAACTCAGTGCTTTTTCCCTCACTGCGCCCAAGCGAAAATAGAACTTTAACTATTTAATCTTTTATACAGCAAGAAAGAAAACGAAAAGAGGGAGATCTTTTGATAAAATAATGTTATCATGGGAAATGTGAACCATTGTCCATCATTTAGCAAATAGTGATAAAGACAAACACTTCGCAAAATTATAAATATTTCAGTTTTAAATCATGAAGGTGAGCCAGTGCATGCCACACAAACAATGTGCAAACTGCATAAGCGTTATGCCCGTGAAGAAGTTTTAAACTCCAGTCAATTCATTAAGCTACAGAAAGTGAAAGTAAAAACTGACTGAGCTGTCGGCATCTGACGCTTAACGGCACATATTCTCAGAGGAGACGAGAGACATATTGGGTATTGTCTTAATTTATTTTCTAAAAAAAATAAAAAATCTCTTATGGCTGATATAGGGCCTACATAGTGAAAAAAAACAACAACAACAGAATTGAAATATTTAGTGTTAAACAAGTTTTATATTTTCATTGATGACTGATTATTACAGTGTTTGGACATAGGCTACTTTAGACGGAATTTTAATTATAGGCCTATTTATTGTGTAATATATCTAAATGTTTCAAATCATTTTCAATGAGGAGTAAGCTAATATAATCATTTATTATCCGCACGTCAGTTGTGCGGTAATGAGCTATGAAATTATTGCGGGGCAAATTAATTGTAGTAGACCTATAAATTTAATAATAAAAGTACCAAAATAATAATAGTAATGGTTAGTAATTGAATTAATTAATTGGAAATGCCAAATCCTCTTGATATCATCGATAGCTGATGCTTTTTTTTTTTAGATATCTCTGGCTATCATCCATATACAGTGTCATCGTCTGCGCAACTCGGGTATTTCACACGTATAGTGTGAGCACATAAATCGTGCTCGACAATCGGACTGTACAGTGTGAGCACGTAAATCGTGAGCTTTGACTTTACATCGCATGTGATCTGCTCGTACAGTGAGTTGGTACCTTGATGAAATCGCACAGTGTATGCCCAGCTAGGCCTGGGCGATAAAACGGTATCGATATTTATCGACGGTACACCATCTTCGATAACGATATAAAAAATGTTCGATATAGCGCACGATATAGGCAAGTGCTGTGAGTGACGCAGACCGCACACACAAACACGAACACATGCTGAATTGAGTGTTGTTAAAGTTCAAATTTGGTGATCTCTGGCCAGCGAATTCACATCACGTGATACCGTGTGACCAACGGCAGATCGATACGTCACTGCATGACCTCGTATCTAAATTATGAGAACATAAATTTAAAACTGCAGCGCTGCAGGAAAATGGAGTGGAGTAGATTGTATGTTTTTACATTTTAGATGTATTATAATTTGTTATGTGTTGAATTTAAGTTTTTAAAAAGACGCTGCACAGCGTGATGTCATATCATGACCGTTGCAGCATGCGAAACAATTTCGCATTCTCAAAGTCTAGTGTGACTGTGGCTTTACACGTGTGTACCGATTTTCGTACATGTACGTAAAATGTAGCTCGAGGAGCACTCTGTTGAAATTTTACAGGTGGCGCTATCAAGCCATTTTGCCACACCCACTTCTGAAACCCTTATCAGATGTAAATTTTCACCAGTTCTGACACGTCTGCAAAGTTTCATGAGTTTTGGAGAATGTTTAGGCCCTCAAAAATGTGCTTCAATTTGGATGGAGGAGAAGAAGAAGAAGAAGAAGAAGAAGAAAAAACGGAGCAATTCCAATAGGGTCCTCACACCATGGGTGCTCAGGCCCTAAATATTAAACACCTATGAAAACACTTTCAAGGTTTTTTTTTTTTTTAAATTTGGTCTAAAAGTTCAATAGCTGAAACCCCCCAAAAAAGCAAGCAAACAAACAAACAAAAATGTAAAACATTTCATATGTCAGTGTTTACAGGGTTACACTGTGATACAGCTCTAAGAGGCCACATGACTCATAACGTACCCGCAGAATAATCACTAACTAACCAAAGCCAGTCAATATTGTGTATGTTAATATATAATAGGAGTTACAACGATCGTGATTCGATTGGTACATGCTACTGTACTTAACTGTAGTGTCACTTCAAAAAATAAAACCAAGTTTTCATGAATCTTGAATTTTAAACAAGATACTGATTTAGGTTACTCAACTAAATAAGATTACATACTGTATGAAAATGAGGCTGACCGAGAGTAAGTTAATTCTTATTCCAAATTAACTTCTTATTGTGCTGCTAGCTCATGCTAGGATTAATATTTCACTGACAGTTTCTTAAGACTCTAAACACAACCAAGGGGGACTAAAAGGAGTTTAATAAATTATTATTTTTTGAATTAACAAGACATAACGGAAAATATGAGACAATAAAAGCTAATCATTAGCACATTAGCTTCAGTGAACCTAAAATGTACCGTAAACAGCTACTGTAAATAAGTTTAATAACACCTGAAATGGTTGAACTCATTATTAGTGTTAGCTTTCAAGAGCATCCAGGTAAATAAGTATTAATTGTCAAAACATTTGTGAATGACTCACTATGGTGACACTGGCTTTGCGCAAGTCTCTATTCTCCTCCTGCAGAGCTTTACACTTCAGTTTAAACGTCTCGAGCTCGATCTTCAGCACTTTATTCTCTTGCTGTAAAGAAGCCAGGCGGTTCGTCAACTCCTCTAGACGGAACGAAGAGATAAGGATGGAGGAGGACGAGGATGAGGAGCACTGAGGGGTAGCTCCGTCCGTGTCGCTCTCACTCGCGCTATCCGCCATCATCGAGCATCAGTGGGAGTCAGTGAGAGAACGAGGAATGAAATACTGCTGTAGGACGGGAGTCGCTACAGCGACCTCTAGTGATTCGATTCATTTGAGCGAATCGGTTCGTTCAAACGGTTCACTCTGGAAATGGGCGGGGCTTAGAGCTGGGTAAAGTCCTTACTGTATGTTTAGAATTCAAGGTATCATTATGTTGTAAAGGTGTAAATTATTGCTTAGACATTTGCTTAAACAGCAATCATGTGTTAGCTGTTAATTTTCTCAGCGCTGATATAGTTGAGCCTGCCAAAGAAAGCTGGACACCAGGGTCTGTTTTCGGTATGTTTGATTAATAAAATTCATATAAATAAGTTACATGAACTCAACTGAATGCAGCTATGTTATGTTAACCTACATGTTCAGCTAGGTAACATGGGTTAGTTCATCCAAAATTTCTATCATTCACTCTCATCATGTTCCAAACCCATAAGACTTGTTTATCTTTGGAGAACAAGTTAAGATGTTTTTTTTTTAATATTCTCTCATCGTTTTTGTGCTTACATTTAAAGCAACCATGCAACCAAAAATGTCCAAGCCTCAAAAAGTTAATAAATCCCAAGTATTCCATCCAAGTGAACAAAGCGGCTTGTTTGAAGTAACAAGATTGTTTTGCATGATGAACCTTTATATCATGAGCTTATATGATGAACTTCATAAGATGAATTTCATTTAGAATTTAATTAAGACATAAGAGCTCATAAGGATGGAAAAAGAAAGCTCGACTGTGCCTGCTTGAAGTATGACACAATCTTCATTTTTAATCTACCTTCAGGACTGCCTATACTGGAGAGGTTCATTAATAATTTGTGAATTTCACCTCAAAATCTAAAGAAAAAAAAATTATGTTTTTCAAAAAGAAAATGAAGACTACTTTTAAGAACATTAATTTGTTTTAAGACAATTAGAAAGTGACATTTTATGGCATTTTAATTACATTTGGGGTAGCTACTGTAAAAAAAAAAAACAGTAAAATTAATTGTGAGGAAAATGTGCTTAATTGTAATGATAATAATGTCACAATCCAACAAATAAATATTGAAAATTAGTCTTAAATTACTCATTTCTTATGAATATGTCCTTTTTATCATGAGATTCCCCCTTAAAACGTTTGAATGCTTAATGTTGAACAAGAAAGAAAACACAGTGAGGGTTTGAACACAATTTATTATAAGCTTAAATAATTAATTTGATCATCCAGTGTATGTTTGTTTTTTCCATACATATGTTTGTTACCAGATCTATCATCCATGAATGCTTGGGTGATTTCTCAATGCACCAAAATCAAAGTAAAATTTCCCCCAAAACCACAGCAGCCTTGAAAAGTAGTGATACACTGCTAGAATGATTACAAATGACAGAAAGACTTCTACATCTTAGAGCCAATACACATGAGAACAGTTAAAAGTTCCATACCGGTGAGCGTTCGGATTGCAGATCTGTAACTGCATAGGGAACGTGTCGCTGTGATGTGATGGGACACAATGTATTTTAGTGAAGCTGAACAATGGTGGTGTGATACTGCCATCTTTCTAAAAAAAAAAAAGTGAGCATTAGCAAGGCTGTGAGTGCATCCATACAGAACATCATTCCCCCTTCTCTTGTGTGTTATGCTGTTTAGAAAAATCTAAATAAAGTGAATCACATGCATGAAAATATTAGTACTCTGAAGAAGTCTCTAAACAGAACTACAGCGGATCCAATGTTCATACCACTGAAAACCGCAGTAGGTTTGAAAGAAACATCCGTTGTTAAAATCAAGCTGGCTTTTTTTCATTTACAAACATTTTTCTTGCTAATAATTATACAAGTGCATGTGACGTTACACCGAAGCGTTCCCTTAAAATTGGAATCAGAATTGGTAGTTCATTCCTACACACTTGCCAGTGCATTACCAATATTGTGAGCCACCTTCAAATTTATACAGTGTAATTTATGTACATCATAAGCTCCAACAGCATTATACACCCTGACATCATGGGTCCGAGAGGAAAAAAATGTAAGGCGAGTGTAGAAGGTGATTCGAACGAGTCCCTCCTTTTCTGTCAATCTGCAGTATGTTTCGTGGCCTCTTTGGTCTCTCGTATCGGACGCCCCCAGTCGATCGAAACGTCACACCAACAAAGTCCTCTCGACCGTTAGCCATTCGGTGTTATTGACAGAAACAAGTTTTTTTTTTTTCATGCTCATGCGAAATCAAAAGCCGTCTGGCTGAAAGCCGTTTGTTTTTATGAAAGCTGCGGACACACGATCCTCATCCCCTGACCTCCTGCACGTTTCCAGTGATTCTCCTCGTAAGAAAATGGTTTTGAAACACTTTCAGATCTGAAACACAGTGAGATACAGAAACATATCAACTTCATTTATTCATTTAAGAACACAGCATAGCTTTTCAATTGATAAACAGTGGAGTCTAAAAATGTGAGAGTGCATCGAAAATCTGGTATTAAATAATTGGAAATAAGCAGAAAGCTTCAGGATTTCTAAAGCAAAGACTATTATGAAATATTCATGATTCTGCGCTATTTCTAGGCCACTAATTAAATCTAAACAACAACAATGAAAATCATTCCGTGTTGACTTTAGATGTCCAGTCATTGTGTAGGTTTACAATGCAAGACCCAAATGACCCTTCAAACACCTTGTCCTGGTCTGGACACAAAGGCATGAGCAAAAGAACAGTTGCATGGGCTAATTTGCTGCGTCTGCATGTCATCAGTGGGCTGCGTTTCAACTGTACTGGAAAAAGCGCTGTTACAAAGCACATTTCTCTGGTGACTATTGTGTTGATGACTATACACAAAAGCTACCGCCTGAACTGGCAGGATTCCACTCTGCTCTGCTTTTTACACTGAACCATATGAACTTACCAAAAAGAGCACAACTGTTACGATTGACCCATTTTCTCCCTTTGTCTTCCTTCCTTTTTTATGCCCTTCCCTCCTTCTCCAGGCTGAAACAATAAAAGCTTGTAGTTAGAGATGACTCGTCATACAGCAGAGCATCAACAGGGATATTACTCCCAATGCCCATCCATGGTAACACACAACAAATGTTATAAAAGAAAAAAAAAATGATTAGTGAGAAACCAATGTTCACTCTCTTTTTTTTTTTCAAAACCTATTTGTATACACCCTTCAGCCACATAAGCAGAAACACCACCTGTGCAGTCAGTGTCAATGAAGAAATTGTTTTCTCAAAATGAATTTAAAGGGATAGTTCACCAAAAAAATGAAAATTCTGCCATTAATTAATCAGATGCATGCTGTACATAAAACAGTCTTTGTAAACATGTCTGAAGATTTCGACAGAGAGGTTGACTTGCAATTTTTTGCCCAGCCTTACTTATTTAAGCCAGAATATACAGATGATGAACTAAGAGAGATGGACGTTCTATGTCAGAACGCCAACTCCTGCATCAGCAGCTCCACACGCATGCATCGTGGTACTCTCGTGAACGCGTGTCGAAGACTGACCACGAAATTGTTGTATAAAGTAATAAATAAAGTTGAATAAAAGTATTCTCATAGCTTTATAACATTACAGTTGAACCACTGATGTCACATTAACTATTTTAATGATGTCCTTGAAACCTTTCTGGGCCTTAAAAGTGAGTGTCAGTTGCGTTGCCTCTCTATGCAGGGTCAAAAAGCTCTTGGATTTCATCCAAAATATCTTAATTTGTCTTCCGAAGATGAACCAAAGTCTTAACGGGTTTGGAACAACACGAGGTTGAGTAATTAATTACAGAATTGTCATTTTTGGGTGAGCTATCCCTTGGACTAATTGGATTTTTTTCCTTCTGTTACCTCATGAAAACAAATACACAAAAATTACAGTAAAGCAACGTAGATAACTTACCTAGATAACATTAGGCTATCTATCTAGCGTAGTTATATACAGGTCAAGCATTACTGTTCTTTTTTTGTGTCGAAGACTGACCACGAAATTGTTGTATAAAGTAATAAAGTTGAATAAAAGTATTCTCATAGCTTTATAACATTACAGTTGAACCACTGATGTCACATGAACTATTTTAATGATGTCCTTGAAACCTTTCTGGGCCTTAAAAGTGAGTGTCAGTTGCGTTGCCTCTCTATGCAGGGTCAAAAAGCTCTTGGATTTCATCCAAAATATCTTAATTTGTCTTCCGAAGATGAACCAAAGTCTTAACGGGTTTGGAACAACACGAGGTTGAGTAATTAATTACAGAATTGTCATTTTTGGGTGAGCTATCCCTTGGACTAATTGGATTTTTTTCCTTCTGTTACCTCATGAAAACAAATACACAAAAATTACAGTAAAGCAACGTAGATAACTTACCTAGATAACATTAGGCTATCTATCTAGCGTAGTTATATACAGGTCAAGCATTACTGTTCTTTTTTTGTTTGTTTGCATTTGTGAGGTAACTCAAGATTTGTTACCTTGTCAAGATAACTTGTATTATTCTGAGATCATGAGAAAAGTAAGTTATGCTCATGGGAAAACAAAACATTCTAAAGTCATTTTTTCAGTTTCATTTGTTGTAGAATGCAGCCTAAATTAAATCAGCATAGCTTCAGCTCCATACTGAAAATCAATGGACATGCGGATGGACTCCAGTTGTAACAGTTTAGCGCATTCAAGCTTTTTCACCTCACCTATTTTTTTTGAGTCTGCTTTGTGTTCTAAATGTTTTTTAGTTCTGTGTTAGTAGCAACATTAAAAGTGTGCGGCCACACAGCTAGAGGGAACACATATCAGTCCACAGACGTTTTTCGCTCAGTTTTCCATTAATAAAGCCACTTCAAATCAAAATCAGAAAACTTGGGTTAGATTTAAGATACAGCAGGCTGTTCTGAAATGTTCTGCACACTGCAGGCCCGCACTAGCACTAGCATCAGCACCGCACACGAATCCAACCTCAGTATGCTCTCTGTGGGGCCCGGGGCCCCCCTGTTCCTCCTGCTCGGCCCTATTGGCCTGCCGGGAACGCTTCCCACGCTTTCTCCTGCCTTTCTCTTCCACACCAGCTGTGCGACGCACCACTTTACGGATGACCTAAGAGAAGGGTGTAAAGTCACGTCTCATGGTAATGGTTTAAACCCACACGGGGGCAGAAGGGAAGGGAAAAGACGTGGTAAAATGAGGAGACTGTGACGTTGCTAGGGATGGGCATGGACATTACTTTTCTGGTGACCGTGTTTCCATCTTCATCTGTGTACTGCTCCTCTGTCACAGTCTCAACAGGGATGTTTCTGGCCTGATCACCCTACAGAGGTGGGATGCACGATGAAACATCAGATCTTTTACTTTGTTTTAAAGTTTAGATCACACACACACACACACACACACACACACACACACACAAACATGAAAAAGTAAAAAAAGAAAAATAATAAGTGCTTTCATCAGATCTTTTTTTGGTTTGAGACAAGACAAAGTTTCAAGCCAAACGTGCTGATGACAACGGCTGAATGTATTTAGTCATTAAAAAAACATACAAATTAATTGTTAAATCCAACACTGCAGGCAAAAAAAGGAAAAAGCAGAAGCTGAGTGTCTTATACATCTTTCAAATGACATGCCAAAGACATAACTCGTTAAATTAATCCAGTAATTATTGACTTGATTTTTTATAATACACAGTAGTAGTGATGGGCCATTTTTTTTATACAGTCAATGTTTGTAAAATTGAGTTAAATTAAAACCAAATCTGTAAAATTAGTATTAGTATTAATAATAATAATAATAATAATAATAATAATAGTATTAGTAGTGATGCTAACCTTAACAAGCATCTTTAATTAATCAAAGATAGGGGAAGGAGCGGAGAATAGCGGAGAATAACAAAACATAAAAAAAGAAAAATAGATCACGCTAGAAAAATACACTCCAAAAATCACAGCAACGTCTGCATGAAAAGTGGCACTGTGCTAATCACTTCATTCCCTCTTAGCACACAGACTAAAAGCACACGCAAAGTCTGTAGCACACAAACCGGCCCAAATCTACAAAAGTACCACTCACAGTACCTTCAGAATCACTCTCCGCCGATACACTCTGGTGGTGACAGTTTCTTCCTCATCAGAGCTGGATTCATTATCTCTACGAGCTTCCTGCTAGAGTCAGGTCAGCACATTACAGCAGTGCATGAGCCATCAAACTCATATGCAGTGCTTCAGACCTTCAACTAATGTTCTTGAAGTCACAAATCTTCACTGTGCTCAAGAATTGAGCATTGATAATAATTATTTATTTCAATGGAGGATGTAATCACGTTTACATTCGCAGTTGTAATCAATCTAAGGTTAGATAGCTATAAGAAAAAAGTAACATTCTTCATCTGTCGAGGTATACGTGATGCATTTGAAGCATAATCAAGTACTTCAAGGATTAAATACAATACATGTCACGTCTTTTGTTAAACTTAGATTTGCTTATTGCTCATCTTTGTTGTAGCTTGAGACTTGAGAGACTGGAGAAGACATGATGACATTTGCAGTAAATTACTATAGCACGAAAGTTTGAATACAATGGAACTTTTACAAAGGAAGAACGCAAAAGAAATGGCGGACTCCCTGGGTAGTGAATTTAGGGTGCTTTTACACCTGTAGATCGATTGCTTTGTTCCGAAACAGGGATTCAAATTATTACAATGTTGATTTTTATTCTTGGTGCGGTTTGCTTTCACACGGCAAAGTTTCTAAACGGACCAAAATTGTTAATACAAGTCACGTGCGAGTAAACTGTCCTCTCATTGGTCAAAGTTCCACGGTTTATTTTCCAGAATTCCGCTCATAGCTGTCATCCGTCAAGATGGAACGACAACAGCTTCGAGGGCTTATTGTTATTGTTGTGTTTTTTGTTTTTTTTTGTAGCTGTCATTATATTAATTTATCATTTTGAACAGGAGTCCAGGATTCATCGGGAAAACATTTTTAAAATGCACCTAACAGTTACTACGATAAAGAGCAATAAGAAAGCATTATAAAATGAAAAGGCGCGCTTTGATTTTGAATGGTGAAGATGTGCTCACCCACAGACATTCACAGGTTCATTTTGAAGTATTAGCAAAACAACAAAATTAATGCTTTTCACGGAACTTACGTAATTACCCATTATACATTGTGATATAGCCTGGTTCATTGGTCCGTTAGATCGGAATGCTTTCTCACTACAACCGAACCGCTCCAGAGTTCGTTTTCAATCGAGCTGTTTTGGCGCAGATCCGAGCGTGATTGCCGTGCCCAAACGAACCGAGCTAAGGGGGGAAACGCGCCAGGTTCCGAAACAACGAGCCAGGTGTGAAAGCACCCTTAGTTCTGAACAAGGGAGAAGATAGAGAGACCCTGAGCCATGTGAGTACATGCTTGGTTAAAAACTTGAAAATCTACAGGGCATTGTTGTTCAACTTTTAAGGTCTCTGAAAGAAAATTTTACCTGGACTTTAGGCTCGGAAATGTCCTCCCCCCTGTTGTTTGGTCCTCTGTCCTCTAGAGCCTCACTGCTTACATCTTCTTGTCCTGAGTCTTTCCTAGCTTTGCCCTTTGGTTTGCTGGAAGACTCACTCGCGTCTGGTGACAAGCGAACTTGGGCTTGGAGCTCTGGATGTTCCCCATTTTGCCTCTCAGTTTGCACTCCAGGTTTTGATGACGTTAGTTCTTGGCTGTGGAGGCATCGAAGTTTGAAATACATTACTTGATTGATACCTAACCTGCTGAGCTTGTGGAATAAGAAAACAGTTTGTTGGTAGAGGTCACTGTTCTTACCTGGACTCTCTTTGCCCTTGTGTTTCAGGATTCAGTCCTTGGCCCAAAGTTGCCGTCTTCCCGTTTGTACTGGACGTCTCACTCTGCAGACCTGAAACTGAAGACATGTCTTTTTCTGCCAGCTGCACTTGAGAGAGGATCGCTTGCAGCCTCTCCTCAGTCATCTCCTCATCCTCTGAGCCTTCCTCCAACTTAATGTTCTCCAAGAGAGACTTTATCTTCTCTTGGGTCATCTCTTCATCTTCTTCGTCAAACCCAGACTTGCCACTCTCTCCAGGAGCTTCGCTGACTGATACACAAATGGGAAGCTTAGGTTGTACTTCCTTCTGCTCTTTTACTGGACTGTTTGGGAAGACATGTGATTCTTTTGAGGTTCCCTCACTGTCACGTTGTTCCGAGTTGGCTGCTGATTCTTTGCTGACACCAAAATCATCTTCAGCTGACCCATCCTCTTGGCTAACAGACTCTCGGCCTCCAATAGAGGTGTCCTCCGCCATGACGGCAGGCGGCTTGGCATCTGCAGACACTGGGCCACTAGTGCTTGGCAAGGACAGTTCACTGGGTCTAACAGGGGCACTAGAGGGGAACTTTAGCCTAATGTCCTCGCTAAAGAAATCATCTTGACGCAGAGGGGTAGGGGGCTCATAGGTCAGCTCTGAGGGACTCTTGAGCTCCAGCTCAATTTTGTGGTAACCTGAGTGATACAACACAGTGAGATGGAGGCGAACACCACTTGTGCACAATGCCACAGCAACAGATGTTATGACAGAGGCCTTTGAAAATGTCATGGAGGTTCATGTTGATGTTAAGGTGGCATTCTGAATTGAATAAGTCCTAACTTGATGGCTTTAAAGGAATATTCTGGGTTATTTGCAGAAGTTAGAGAAGTCCCACCTTAAAAATTAGATAACTTCACAACTCAAATAACAAACATTTGCACAGAATTTAAGTGCTTTAGCAAAAACAAGCTTTATATTTCAGCTTTATAACCTTCTGGCACATTTGCCCCATCATCTTGCCTCTTAGACTCCCATTGTAAGTGGATTACTTTTGAGGAAAAGTCATTTTCTGTGGTAGTCAAAAGGATACCACAGATGATCAATAGCAGGTAAGTTATCCCAGAATACTCCATTACAAATATACCATTAAGGTAAGCAACATATAGTATAATTAGTATAGTTATAGTATCTGAAAGTGTAGTTCACCATGTAATTTTCAAAGGCAGATAATTACAACACTAAATATAAAGTTCAGGAACAGTGGGGTCTTGACGTAAATGGAAGAAGATGGGTGATGATGATGGTGAGGAAAAGGACTGTTTGGTCAACACTTTAAGGTTAGGAGATACAAATGATGTAGATGAAGTAGGGGCAGTAGAAACTGTCATGGACACCAGGTTACAGAAAAATGGAGCAAGACAAGATGTTGCAGATATGGTGTTAAAAACATGAGATGTATCAGGATGATGTTGCTATATGAAGATAAGAATGCAGTGTTAATAAGAGCGAGTTACCATAGCATGAGTGAAGAGCTGTAGCAAGAGCTAGCACTAATTTACTCCACCAAAGACAGAGCAACTACGCTAAACAGTGCTGCACCACTGTGCTTTGAAATGAGGCAAAAGTGTTGCTATGAAAGAAGTTGGTAGGCAGTGGAGAAGCAGCTGGTCTGGATTTGCAGCAGAAGCACTCTATCAGGAAGGTTCAGAGGATTCTGGGATACTGGAGGATCAGGCAGCCTGACAGCAAGCAGACATTCCATAGTAGCCAGACCCATGCTATTGATATTGCTTCCAGACTACTGAGTTACTGTTAGCACTACACAGAGAGAAACATTAAGGCTATCATGCTGTAAAAGCAGGTTGAATCCTATTATGTTTTCATGTATGTTTAACATCTCAGAAAAAATCAGAAGAGAAAACAGAGTAGAGCACTATTGCCATTGCTAATAGCTACAGTAGTTGGTATACTTTGGAGAGGATACTTTGTATACACATAAACATAATATTTGTCTTAATATGGTATGAACCAAATCTTAAACCCATCAGATCCAGCACACAAATCAGAATATAAAGCCTTAAAGGGGTCATATAATGTTGCTAAAAAGAACATTATTTTGTGTATTTGGTGTAATGAAATGTGTTTATGCGGTTTAAGGTTCAAAAAACACATTTTCAGTAGAGCACTATATATGGCTATTGTAGTTCTGGAATTTGGCAATTAATTTTAATTTCTACAAAAGCATGTATCATCAATTAACAATATCAAATATGAAAGGTTTATTCATAATCATTGGTGAAAACCAATGTTTTTTTTTTTTTACTTATGGATCCCAACTGTTGCTCCATATAAATTTATTGTAATTTCCACTATTATTAAGATGGGGTTAAGTTTTGATTCAGCATTAGCTTAAGTCATATACTATATAGATGCATGCTTTAATGCTTTCATACAAACATACAATCATAATAATTCAATATTTATGATTACACTGATCCCTGACTGGTCCAACACCAGGCTGGGAAATAGCAGTGTTGATAACTGGCGAACCTAACTAATTAGAAAAGATTGAGATTTAAACTTAAACTTCAGTTTAAGTTTATACTAGGTTTGAATTTAGAGCAATAAGTGTTTTGCCATGACGGTTCTATGAATCTACAGATTTGTGAGAGACATAGAAAAGTAGAGTTCAGGTAGATGGGGCTAAACTTTACCATCAGCCTGCTCCTGGGAAACTGCGCTATCATCTGCAAAACATCTTGTGCCTGAAATGTTACCATAGTCAAATATCGGCCCTTCCAGCAATGTCACAATATCCAGCCGATTGAGCTTAGTCAGGACTGCAGTTAAGGCATCCGCTAAAAGGAAAAAAGAAAAGATATTCATGATTGCACATATTAGCTGAACAATAAATTTAGCCTTTAAAGGTGCTGTATGTAGGATTGACACCGAGTGGTTGAACTACATATTGCAGTCCAAATTCAAAATATCGGAGAGGGTTTTTTTCACCCGGCCCCTCCTCCTCAGACTTGACGCATACGCAGATTGCCAGATTGACGATACCAACAGGAACGAGCGCACTTGACGATGAATGAATTGAAATATGCTGTGTTTTCCGCCAACTGGCAACCCGAGGTGACGAAATACAATTGGGTAAACTGGCAGTAGGCGGGTTTCACAAACCAAAACAGACCGACATTCCGGCCCGGAATGCACATTTTCAAAGGAGAATAACTGACTGTAGCACTGTTTTTCAGATAAACAAGTATGTTAACTTAGCATGTTTCTTAAATATCTGCAAACATATGGTATTTTTTTGCTTTAGTAGAGTCAAAAACTTACATACAGCACCTTTATGTTATTTCTCTTATAATGGCTGAGAATATGATTTAGATACAGAAGTCTGTCTGTCCCTGCCCAAACCCCACCCACCTTTCTCCTCTCCGTATGATTCACCCTTATTCAGAAAAGATGTAGTGCATAGGCACACTTACTTGTAGCGTTTTTACCATCTCGGCTAACCCATTTCTTTAATAGCATGAAACTCTGAGCTGTCAATGAGTTGGGGTTTTCCACACGGATTTGATTTATCTCATCAACCGAAAATTCCATTTCCCTGGCCAGCTCTGCAATACATTAAAAATAGATTAACGACTCCTCTGTCTTAACCACTCCCCCGTACACATGTGCGCAGTACTGCAGTGACTGCAGATGGCACACCCTACTGATCACAGCAGCACCGATGCTTTGAGAAACAACAACAAGTAACGCGAAGCCATATGTGCAAAAAAATAATAATACAAAAAAAAAAAGTAAAATGTGACATTATTTTCACAGATGACATTATTACAGAGATATAAACATATAGGGTATATTTGTGCTAAGGTGTAATGCAACACTTTGTCCTCTCGGTGGTGTCATTTCTTACCAGTCCAACTCAGGCCAAGATGATCTGCCACAATTGCCATACGTACATCTGTTCTTTCACAGGGGCTCTGAGGGCCTGAGAGCAGAAGATGGAAAGTCATGAAAATCTTTAAAACATAATATTCAGAGAAGTTAGAAAAGTAATAAATCAGACTACCCTTTTCTGATCTAGTCAAGATAATTAAAAGTGTGGGGGAGATTTTTGCATATTTTAGCTACAACAAAATGAGTCCATATCCAAATAACAGGTGAGGGGAGATTGATCAGAAAAGAGTTGCAAAAATATTTTGATATATTCAGTTATCTTGTTAGTTTTTGTTAGTTTTAAGAGGTTAGATTTGTAAAGAATGCATCTAACCAATCTAATTGGAAATGTTTAAACCTTCTGACAGTATACTCTTACCAGAAACACAACAAATAAATCACAAAAAAGACACGATTCAAATGTCTCTACAGCTACAGCAGAGGGTCAAATGTGAATTCACAGTATCAAATGAAACTAAACATGCGGCATCTTTGGTGCTGTGCTAGGACTGTGTGTCTGCGTGGGCTCACGAGATCTATAGGCTTCCTTAGCACCTTACGCGAAACTCGGAACCAATAAAAATGGCCAGCAAACCCACTCACACTGGCATGCTACAGTAAAACTGACTATCCATAGAAAGAGATCTGAAAACAGGTTTAGAGACCAGCACACAAGTACACAAAGAGAGAGAAAATGACAAATGACAGAGATGACATCTACAGTCAGGTCACACCACAGGCAATCACAACGGCTCATGCAACTAAGATCATACAAGTTTAAAGTTTTACAAACTATGCTTGATCTCCACGCCGGGGGCCACTTGAGGCCCAGCACCCTGACTGCCTTCACCTCCATCAGTCCTCCTACTCCTCCTCCTCCTGTCTCTGCCGGACTGCTCAACCTGTGATCTCACGTCTCTAGCAGACCTGGATGTACTGGAGGGCTGCGACGCTTCTGATAAAGATGTGTTCCTTGATGTGCTGCTTTGTTCATCCTTATCATATGCCTGCATCTTTTTCTCTTCACTGGAAAGGCAGTCCACAAGCTTTACTGCACTACTAGGTTTTGAAGTACTAGAACTTTTGCCAACCTCATATAGGGGTTCCTGATCACATTTACTGCCTGATCTACTCACTGGACCGGGTTTTGATCTTTTGTTGGTGGTTATCGTTTTGGTTGGCTGTGCTTTACCTTTCTGGTTGGCTATTGTGATGGTCCTACATTTCCCAATTGGTGAGGAACTAACATTTTTGACCTTCATCATTGGGATTCTAGATTTAGGCTTCACATCTGGGAATGGATCTAATCGATTCCTGGCTACTGGTCTAATCTTCTGAATTGGTCTCGAAGATATTAGATATTTTTTACAACCCAGTGGTGGATGAGGTGCTCTCACTGGCAACCTAGACTTTGGTGGCTTTCTTGTAATGTCTTTGCATTTGGAGATTACATCATTATTCTTTGTACTGCCATCCCTGAAAGTACCAGTGTCCTTTCTGACTGAATCTTCACATGGGTTTATTAATTGAACTGAGCAAAGATCAGACATTAACAGCTGTTCGGTTTGTATGCCGCTTTGTAGCAAGCAGTGTGTTCCAGCATTTAAGGCCTCAAGATTAGCATTATTACTGCAGTTTCTGGAATTACTGGAAGTTGTCTGGAGGTATGTTTGTGGCTCTGTCGATGAGTCTGTCCTCTGATTGTACTTGCTTGTTCTATAGGTGTCTGGTCCTACTTGATGTGCAGTTTCTGGTGTTTGACCTTGTGAACTATCCGAGTCTACACAAACAAAATCTCTCCTCTCAATGTTGGAAGATTTGAGTCCTACCTTAAAAGACGAACATAAAGAACTGACTTCTGAATAGGGGGGAGGCTCCATGTCATTAGATGTGTCTGAGTGGTCAGTGCATATCTGAATGATATTGTATGATATAGCCGTGTTGTCCTCCATCTTAACTTGTGCTCTCTCAACTATCTGTGGATTTGAGGTGACTGCATTTGGTTTTCTGACCCCATCCCCTATCCTCCCTCCTAATGTATGCTCACCGATCTGAAAAAATTGCAGCCTCTCTTCAACAAAATCCCGCTTGCTCATGTCAATCGCACCACTGCGGGTCATCTCAAACATCTTCCCTTCGTGGAAAGGGAAAGGGTTTGGCTCACTAGTTGGTGTGCTTTCATCGGTTGGAGTTCTTGCAGGAGTTGTGTCAGGGGTTGTTGCTGTAGACTTGTCATCTACTGCTAGCCCAAACGGCTTGGGCTCATCATCTTTAATTCTAGCGTCCACTACTTCATCTTCTCCTCCCTTGCTTGACCAAGGATCAAAGCCTTTTGTTGCAACAGTTTTGAAAGGAGTATTAAACTCCTCATCTAGCTTGTAACTAAAGTAAGTGTCTGACAATCCTTGATCAGACTGTTTTCCATCCTTTTCACTGTCCTTTCCATTCCTTTTGTTTGAGGGATCAGTCTTAGCTTTGGTCTTTTTGTAATCCTCAGCTGGTGATTCTTCATGAATTACTTCAAGTTTACTTTGGCAACGGTCACTTGGTCTAGACATATTATCTGATGCCCAAATATCCTTTCTGTTTTCATTGGGAAATCCAAATGGTTTGGCAATAGGTTCACTTAAGCCGTCATCCTCATCTTGAAGTTCATATCCATCAAGAGAGTCAATCTCAGTGGCATCAGTGTCATGAGAGAACTCTGCCGTTGTCGCTATTGAGCAATCTGTGATGGACTGATCATTGCCATTTTGTTCATAATCATAATCTTCTGCTTTTCCATTACCATTTTCCCCTTGTTCTTTATCGTTCCCATTCTTGTCAGGTTTTTTGGATGGGCTTTTCTTCAAATCTTTGTCCTCATCAATCTTAAAGGTATATTTCTTTATTGGAATAGGTTTAAAGACAGATTCCTCCTCCTCACTTGAATCGCTATCATTAGCTCCTGGGGGCACAGGAGATGGAGGCTGGACTCTTATTATAGGTTCAGCAAGATGTTTATCATGCTCCTCTTGGAGATTTACTTCCATCAATTCAGTCTCAGCCTCTGAGGAAGGAGTCGACCCTTTTTTCTCAGGCTGTGAGGAATAAGAATCCAAGGGTGGTGGAGGAGGAAACTCTATATATGCAATTCTTTTGTCTTTTGTCTCCTGGCCAGTTTCGTGCTTACCATTGGCTCTTTTTTCTGGTCCAGATTCTTTCAAATGAATAGCTTTGCCTTGCTCACTATCTTCTGACTCCTCTGAAACCTCAGCTATTGGGCTTGCAATACCTGGCATAAATGCAATAAATGGATCAGGGGTTCTCGAGGTGAGATCATAGCTGACCTCTTCTGAGCTTGGTGTCTCTGGAGTCATAGGACTTTTGCCAGAGCTATCAATAAAAGAGAACTGTTCTAAAGTGTCATCATCTGGGCTGCCTTGAGGAGATGTGGGCTGTTTCTGTTTAACTGCATAAATTGTTCGACTTTCTGAGCTAACCATCTTTTTGAATGTTCCATTGGTTCCTCCTCCTCCCATTTCTTTGTCAGACTGTTTCCCTACTTGAACACTTACATAGACTGGTAAAGTTTTAAGCCCTTTGAAACTTTCTCTTGTTGTAACGGTGGATATTTTTTCGACCGAACTAGTGCCACTTAGACCACTTGTTGTTCTACTTTCAGCAGAGACTTCTTCAGACTTATTTGTTGCAGCTTGCTCTCTCTGTAACTCTGAACGGCCCTGAACCCTGGCTTTGGTCAGGGTAGGTATGTGCGATGGGCTCTTTTCAGATAATTTAGTTAATGTGTCTTGATTTGCCTTCTTTGACTGATTATTGCCTGAGGAACCAGGTGATGTTCTCACAGGAATATGAGATTCTGTCTTTTTCTTAAGGGTCTTTATCTGAAAGTCATTCCTATTGATATTATCCTTAGACAATGAAGCTGTTTTAACGGTCTCATTTTTAATGTCACTCTTTAAATACTGCTGCTCTTTAATATCATTAATTGCACTATGCCTGTCTGCAATATTTCCATCTTTCAAATCTTGAGAGTCAGCTTTAGTAGAGAACTCCCGAGTTTGATCAAACTCTTGATCTTTCATTTTCTCAAAATGTGAGGCTCTTTTAACAACATTATCTGATGTGGTAGATTTTTCAGGTAAACATTTTTCACCTGACTGCTTTGAGACAATAGTACTGCTGCTAATGTGAGGGGTTACTTTACTTTTATCGGCTTCTGTTCGTTTTTTAGCAGGTGGGTGTCCTTCGTCTGTGGAATCAGCTTTTGAGGGTTTTGAACCAGCGTAAAACTGATACACTGGTAATTTACTTTCTGGTAGTTTCTTAACTGGTTGTTTTGACTGTGTTAGAGGCACATTCTGATCCTGTTTCTGCGCTTCTATTTCAAACTTTTGTCGAACAGAACTCACTCTAGAAGTCTTAACTGGGACTGGGGGGCCTGCATCACCTGTCTTTGCCTGCTTAGGATCTTCGTGCTGTTTTGGTTTGTCCTCACTGAACTGTGACAGCATATGCCTCTCAGGACTGTTTGGCAGACTTGCACTTGTCCTTTCGTTTGTGCTGCCAAACATCTTCTGTCTGCCTTTGTCCCATTCCTCAGCTGCAGTCTTTTGCTTTTTCTCAGGGCTGCTGCACATTGAGCTCGGCCCTGACCGTGTCTCTCTTGATAATCTTGTCGGTTTCTTTTTCTCAGGGGACTTGAGCTCATCATTTAACTTTTCAGTTTTGTCCCTAAAAAACTGTGAAACCTCACTCAGTTTCTCCTCTGCCTCTTTAATGGTCCGATCTACTCTATCTTCATATATGAGCTTCTCTCTGTTCCTGTCCTGCCTATCCTGGGTGAATCTCATCCACACTGCATGTTTAGGGCTACCGGGTTCTGTGGTATAATGTAATACTGTAACTTTGTCATATTGCTCATCTTGTGGGGGATATTTACCTGATTTGTCTGATGCATCCCTTGCTGACTTTAATTTGGACTCCTTCCTGGGGCCAGCTACTTTTTCTCCATATATGCCTTCTGCCCCATGTACCTCAGTGGCTACGCTATGCACCTGGTCTGCCACTGAGTCCTCAGTATCAGAATGTGATATGTCTAATTTATCTGAGAGCAACATTTTCTCAGCAAACCTGTATGACTCCCCTCTCAACTCAGATAACTCGTCATCATGATACTCAATAGAATGCTGGCTTAGAAGTTTTAAAGCTTTATATGACTCATCTGCAATAAGCTGAGCTGAACTGGGACGAGACTCTTCTTCTTGAGAAACAGGTGTATTGACTCTGGATGTGTCTAAGAAGGACGGCAGTGATTCCTCAGCAGTAAGTTCCTCCTCATCTTGAAGAATCTCATAATCACCATCAACCCTTTCAACAAGCTCTTTGAGACCTTGGTCACTCCTGCATATAAACTCTGGATGCTTTTTAGTCTCTCTGATTATAACTTCTGTCGGGTCAGTTGTGTTGCCCTTTTCTATATGCACCTCAATAATTCTCTCAACTTTTGGTTTTTTGTCCTTTTCGAGGAACCGTGGCGACAATTCATCTCCTTTAATGGCATCTTGGCCAGCTTTGTGCTCAAATAAACCGGCAAATTCTTTGGAAGGGTCTCTTCCAGACTGAAAAGCTTTCATTAAGTCTCGGACTGACATTGTTTCTTCAATCCTGTCAGAGCCAGCATCTTTCAGTTGAGGTTTGTGGTAGACCATTCGAGTTGTAGTGGTGATATGAGTTTCTTCTTTGACGCAGGCCAGTTCCTCAGAGCTGGCTTTCATCTGCAAGGCTTTTACCTTATCTTTGATCGAGCTAACTGCTGGCTCAGGCTCAAGCGGAGGCTTCAAAGCTGCTGCCTCATCCATTAGTGGCTCACAGACCTCCTCAGGATGTTCATAGCTCCTGATGACGTGAACAACCTCAGTTCTGGTTTCTGTTATGACAGGGGGAATAGGCACATCTGTGAAGGGGGGTTTGGGCCCTGTGCTCTCTGCACTTTGAGGAGCTGATGGGGTCTTTTCACTTCTGGTTTCAAACCCACTATCTGAGAGGGGACTCTTATCTTGTTCATGGGAAAAGTCATCAGGTGATTCCAGGATAGCATCTGTGCCACTATAGGTGTCTGCTAATTTACTCAAGTCTTTCTCTGAGGGAGAGGTCCGCATACCTGTGGGTGGCATTTTGAGCTTGTGCTCCGGTTTCATGGTACGCTTTTGTTTTTCCTCCCCTTCCTTCTTTATTTCATCATACCTGCTCTTTACATCATCTATTTTTGAAAGGGAACTGGCACCAAGATCATTCATTAAGTAATCAACCACTTTAGCTAAATTGAGATCTTTGTCTGGCACTGACTGTGGCCCGACAGGAAGGGTTGGTTCAAATGTTGGCAGGGAACGCAGGGCACTCTGTCGTGCCTCCTCAATTTCATCTTTGGAGAACTCTTCCCATTCATCTTCTGAGGCCCTGTCTTTACTTGAGCTTTTGGCCTCGCTCAGGACATCTTTTGTGAGAATTTCACTAACTTTGACAAGGTCCTCTTTAACTTTCTCAACCAAACTGAAAGGCTCTTCATCCTCCATCCTGGACTCTTTAGAAACATGCGAGTGGAAGCTTTTGGCTGCGGTTGACGAGTCAGTTTGTAAGATTGCAGTCATTCTTATCAGATCTTCCTTCATATCTGCCACATCCTTAAGAATCTCTTGACTGGATGTCAATGTGGGTGCGGTAGCAGCTTTGAGGACTGTTGGGGAAATAAAAAGTGAGGGCTTTGAGGGTTTAATTCGTGATGTTGAGGACTGTGCTTGGGTGTGTGTCTGAGGTGTGATTGTTATTTTTTCTGGGAGTTTCTTCCCCTGGGGTTCAGGGAGCACATTGACCACGGAGAATACCGGAACGGACATGGAAATGGATGATACTGATGTGGTGGTAGTGGCTGGTGATCTAAGGGTATCGTAAACAGAACTTGATAAATTTGATCTTAAAGGTGAAGATACAGATTTTAGTGCACTATAGTTTGACGTTAAGCCAGCAGTAAGTGTTTTCTCAGCCTCACTGAAGGCTGCACCAACACTGGCCGTAGCTGCTTGAGTTGTGGCCTGTATCCGTTCTTGTAAGCTGTAAACCCCTCCTGTAAACAGACGGGAAGATGCAGAGGAGGATGAGGGGTATTTTATCGGTGAAATGGATCCATTTAACAGGACTGTTTCAGTACTGGATATTGTAGGCTTAGCTGATGAAGAAAGCGATGACAGCATCGTACCCCTAGATGCATCTGTGGTTGTTTTAATAGAGGACAGGCTTGTTATGTTTCGAATGGGAGAGGACGCTGCTATACTTGTGGGGGCCAGGGTGGATTTGAATGATAAAGACGTGTATGCATTTGTGGCTGACTTTATAGAATCAGCTTGCGTCACTGTGGTGAAAGTTCTGTCTAGCATGGATCCAGGTGATGAAATCAAGTTAGCTCTTGAGGACAATGAAGCAGTGAGCCCCTTAATGAACACCGGATCTGTGCCAGAGTTACCCGGCGAAGACAGGAGCCTGGAGGAAATTTGAACTTGGTTTTGAGGTTGCTGAACCACAGCCTTTATTGGAGATGACATAGATCTGTATGTTCTAATGGGTGATGCTACATCGCTAACTGATTTTGCAGGAGAAGCATTCGATGTTCCTAGGGTGGACTTGATTGGAGAAGCAGAGGAAATTGACCACACAGACTTTAGTGGCGAAGCAGATGGCGTGTTGGAAGGTGAACTGGAGAGGGAACCCAGTCCACATTTTGTTTGCCCAGGGACGGTAATAGGAGCAGTCGACCATGCCTGGTACGATCTTGTTGAAAAGACAGGTTTGTGAGCGTAACCAGCAGGCAGTGTTCTTGTTGTACTTCGTTCAACTGTTTCTTTAAACAGACAAATGAAAATCCAACATAAAGTCAACAAAAAATGGTGGAAAAACAGAGAGACCAGAAGGAAAAAAATTGGTCAGTGGTGATTGTCTTATAAGGTGTAGAGCAGCAGTTTTATGATGTGAAATGTAACTGAAGATGAGGATGGTGCCAAAATAAAGATGATCCAAAGAGTTTCATGGCCCACAAAGGGTTCACAAAACAAAAATGAACAAAGCGCATACACACAAAAGTATGACAAAAATTATGTACCACAAAACGTAAAATGGCAAGACAAATGCACAGGACCAGAGTAAAACAATTTCACTTTTGACTTTTGATGTGCTAAATTTTCCTGTGACTGACTACCTTCATTTGCTACAGTGCCTTTTATCTGTTTGGTTTAGAAAAAAAATACAGATCATTCCCAAATCTGTGTATTTTGACAAAAACAGAAGACTCAACAAAACAAAAAGCATCCTTGTTCCTATGCTACAGCAAAACATATTATGACAAATGCAGGCTAAATAACTACAATTTAAAGTTCATAATATCGCTCACATCATGCAGATCTGAGTAACCTTAGTGACAGGCAATTCAGTGCAAACTGTGAAAGTACCCGAGAGAATCTACCTGTGAGTCTTCATGCATTTCCTTCAAAAATGCATTAAATAATTATGCACAATCACAAAGCCAAAAGGAGCAAGACTGGTTGAAAAACAGGAATTAAAAAAAGGGAATGATTTTTTACTTTGATGCCATAGTGCATAAAGTTTTGCAAGTCACTCAAAGTAAAATGTTATGAAAGTTACAAAATATTATTCTTGCTAGTGTGGGTAAAAATGAACTAATAGGGTATATAACATCTCATAAGCATAGGGCAAGCACGGCACACCAACTGAAATTCCAAATTTTACATGCAAACCAAACTTTACAAAAAACAAAAACAAACAAAAAAACAAGCATGTGGACTCTGTTCATGTATGGTAAAAATGTGCAGATAAAACAATGTTTATGCCAGTTAATATATCATAGATGGTCACAGTAAGTCACATGTTAGCTTAAATCACTTCCAAGAATTTGGTTCTCAATATAAGTTCATATATTAGTGAAAACATCACACTCACTCGTTCCAGGCTCGGTCAGATAGCTGTAGCGCTTACGTAAGGCTAGAGATGCAAAGGTATGACGTCGTTCTGGCTTTTCAGTCTGTAACAACAACAAAAAGAATCCTATCAGTTTTCTCATAATCAACCCTGCTTAAAGTTTAGCTAACTCCCTTATTGTTCTTTCCTTTTGAAAAAGCATTATGACTATAATATAGGAACACTGATTTGGAAAGTTTTTTTAATAATTTTCTTTATATTACTGTACTCTTTACATTGGGCTGGCCTATATAGTCTCTATTCACATCAAAGGAAATCAATGCTACATTGATTTCCTTCAATTCATTCTAAAGGCCATGAAACAAAAAGAATAACTACAATCGACTGGGTCAGTGAGATCCTAGGCGCAGATGACCAGTACTTTGTTACGCAATATTAACATTAGTTTTTCTCCTCTAAATTAAATTTGATATGCTTTGATATGTGATCCACCTAAGTCTTGACAGTGTAGGCAACAGTACTTGGTGCATGGATGAGTAAAAAAAAAATCAGCTTGCAGAAAGTTGCAGCAGCATGCTGTATATGTACTATATGTGTACCCAAGTTAAAGCCGTCTTGAACAAATAACCCAGAGCTAAAGCAACTAGCACACCACATGGAAATGAGGGGACAGCACTATTACCTCTTCCTCAGGATCTGAATCCACATCCTTTTGGTTCCCAAGATGCATTGCAGAAACAGAGGGGATAACGTAATGAAGAGCAGGGGGAAAGAAACATCAGGATGTGAAAAAGGCGATTGAGAGCACACTAAGTAAAAGTTACCGCAAAGCCACAGTGAAGGAACATAAAGGGGTAAAAAAGAAAAAGAGAAACAAAGCACAGAGCCACAACCACAGAAGCTGTTGAAATAAGCACAAGCCTGTGCACCTTCAGCCAAAGCAAGATCCAAATCAAAAGTGTGATTTGGGTCAGCCACAACAACAACAACTTGAAAAAAGCTTGAAACAGATAAAAGACACACTCAGGCAGTTTGAGCCAAGTTTGACCCTTAATGACTAGGAACACTGCTCTATCTTTCCTGAGTATGAAGATGGCATGATATGACACAGATGATCAGAGTTCAGCCTTACCTTCTTGAGTCCTGGCAGTGTGATGTTTAAATTACAGATAGCAGTCTGAGCGAGACCCTTGGAAGTTTTGGGCTCTCTGAGGAAGGACAAGCGGCCACATGGCTCTTGGCTGCTGTCTCTGATCTGCAGATGACAAAAAAATGTTACTGGTAATGAATTAGTTCTTAGGTCTGACTTGCCCAGAATTTGCTGGATAATAGCTTGTAGAGAAGCAGCCCATCTGAAAGCTGGAAAATACACAAGAATGCTAAAGTGAAAAGTCACAACATGCGAGGAGCTACATGTTTCTCATTACCTTCTGATAGCTCAGGGTCTAACAGAAATTGATGCTGATTTTAATAACAAAACAATTTGGCAGGCAGAATGTATTACTAATGTATCTAATTGTCATGAAAATGCTAGAAGAAAAAACGATCTACCTTCACACAGAACGGCAGTCTGTTTTCTTTGAAAGCATAGAAGTTAAAAACCAGCTGCTGTCCGGCTTTGGTCAGAGGGGCCAAATTGCCATAGCAGTCCACATAGATGGGCTTCCCTTCCAGCACCTTTAAAACAGTCAGCCGTGTCATGCAAACCACATTTTATAAAAATGTTAATGTGCAAAAATCCTAATAATATCTCATAAAATTCTCATTTAAAAATGTCTCATATAAATAAATAAAAACGGATCATGCACCTCAATGTCTTTGCTTCTGGCCACCTCCTCAAAGTTCTCCTGCTGTTCCAGGGTTTTGTCCACTTTATCGTCTGTCATACAGAAGCACCGCAGGCTGGACTCCACAGGGTCATTCATTTTAGCAAACACTACAAATTTGGCCATGTAGGGCACACAGATGAGCTCTCTGTAGAGCTGGGTGGCCAAACCTACAGTCTCTGGGGTCTGATGGCAGTCTGCAAGCCAAAACCTGGACACAAATTTAAGAGTCACAAAGCTGAAAATGTGAGATTTTGATAATACGCCTTAATATTTTCTAGAATTAGATCTGAGGTATTGAAAATTGTTTTAGGCAGGTAAGAGGATTTTATGAGAGAGAAGTTCCTAAGTTGTTCTTGTACCTGGCAGATACGTTTGTGGTGAAGGACACACAGTCATTCATAAAGGTGAGAGGTGTAGTCCCAGTGATGTCCTCCCACTGAGCTGGCGATGTGCCACCTGTCACGAGATGCTTTATTAAAATGATTTCTACATTTTCTTAAGAAAATCTGAGGGCTCAAATAGAGATCAAACAGAGATGCACTGGTTGACCGGCTGTCAATTTGTTGTTTTTGTTTTTTGCAGGTATGTTTTATGTAGCATAGTTTCACAAAGCTAAATTCAGAAACTTCATTTAGTTTTTGTTTTAAATGCCATATTATACAATCTTATTGAAATCAAAAACAACTGCTCATACTACATGAATGTAGCATCTTTGTTTGGATTGCTATTAAAATGCAGTCATTTCCTCTAACTTCAAATGGCTAGACATTTCTGTTTAGGGCCAGTTTGGATTGAAATAGAGCAAATAAACATTTTGTTCTTGTACTCTTTTATTAAAAAAAACTGCAGTCGGTATCGGAATTGCTCGTAAAAAATCTTAATCGGCCATTAAAAATTATAATCAGTGCATCCTTAGAGACAAATACTGTAATAGAGAAGTTATTCTCACGCCAAGGACTATATCTATAATGCTTACTATAAAGTTTTCAGAATTGTTATAATTCTGTGAGAGATGTCTAAACCACAACTATACAATATCATTGGAATCATTTTCTGAACATCGACAACCAATCAGAATCCACCTTTAAAGAGCTCGAGCATTTAAAGCAAGCGATGACATAACTGCTGCGTGCGATTATGACAAACAGAACGATATAGCGTGTTGGTGTGGACGCTAATAAAGTTATCATTTTAGTTATCATTCTTCTTGTTGTTATCAGTTGTTATCATCCCTTATTATCAGCAATAGGGCAATAGAGTGATGATTGCAAACACCACTATAGTGAAATGGTAGTTTGACAAACTGTTAAAAAGATTTTATATTTTATTATACATCGTTATTCTCTAAAAGTCAATCCTACCAGTTATACTGCAGAGCAGGCGCAGGCTTGGTGTTGGGTCTCCTTTGTAGCCATTCACCACACCCTCTCCAGACAGCGGAGGCACAGGTATGGTCATGGTAATGGGCTTATGGAACTTCCTCCTGCGAGGCTCCACTGTCACTATAGGGCTGAAGGTGGCACGATTTCCTATGATCTTCTTCACAGCTTCATCCGGAACAGGCTGGGCCTGTTAAGAGAAAGCAAGATCATTTAAGTGAAATATCTACACAATGAGCTTTATTAAAGTGTGCAATTTCTGACCGCTAGCATCAGCAAATGGGAAAATCATGCATTCCCAAATAATCCCAAATATGTCCAGTCCTAAACTCACATCATTGGTTGAGCTAGTGTTATTGTATCAGATTGTGTTAGGATGCTTAAACAATCAATGTTTGATAGAGTCAGAGTGTTACAGTTTTCAAAGGAATCAACCTACAATTGGCTTACAGTACACTTTAATGAAAAAAAAGTTAAAATAAAGAAACTTTTTCCATTATAAAGAACCTTTTCTGGAATGGTAAGGTTCCATGGATGTTAAAGGCTCTTCATGGTACCATAGATGCCGAGATACTGAGACTTGCTACTGCCAATACATCAACAACATGCTGCTGTGAGCATGTAAGAAATACTGCTGCTGCACATATAACACAGGCCTGGGCGATACAACGGTATCGATATTTATCGACGGTACTCCTTCATCGATAACGATAGAAAAAATATTTGATATAGCGCACGATATAGGCACATGCTATGAGTGACGCAGACAGCACACACAAACACGAACATGAGTGCTGTGCCTGCCTGTGATGAGGAGATTGTGAATAAAAAAATCAATATTAGTCGAATTTAAAATAAAAAAAATTGCATTTGAATGCAAAAATGGTTATGCACGTGGACGTGGACATTATGCACATTTTTTATGGACAGTTATTTCATTGCACTGACAATTTAATACGCTGCATTGTTTTGCTCATTGCGCCTTCCTGTGGCCTCGGGAGACAAGCCAAAATTTTCCATAAGTCTTATTTAATCTGCATATAACACATAAGAAAGGAGATATTTGTTTAAATTTTATTTTGTGTTTGACTGTTAAAACAAAAAAAATGTTGTTTGTCTCAATAAATTGGGTAAATTAAAAACTAACTAAAAAAAAAATTATATTGCGCTTTGTTTTAAAAAAGGTTATGAAAATGTCAATAATTATTGATACCGAATGATATGAAACATTATATCGTTGATCATTTTTTTTAGCTATATCGCCCAGCCCTAATATAACATATATGAATAAACCCCATAGCATACATGATTACCCCGTAGCAGATATATACAGGTGGAGCTGGGGAAGGTGGGGGGTTTCTGAAGCGCGCTGCTACTACTACAGCAAGAACTAGCCAAGTATTTGAATTCTGATCAGTGAGCTCACTGGCTACCGATACAGGAGAGAACCAATTAGCTGTGCCATGTGATAATGATGTAATTATGTCAGATTGAGTTAGACCTGTTGGACTGTGCCATCTAGAGTTTCATGCCAGAACTTTGGATATATATAAAGGAAATTTTGAATTATTTGGACAGTTGTCTACCTGCAGTCCAACTCTGATCTTCTTGGTGAGCGCACCCTCAGGGAAGGAGGCCTGGACCAGAGGTACTGTCATGCTGGTCAGGACCCCTCCGTCTGGACCCATCTGATTACTCTCCTGTTTGATCCGTGATACCACCGCAAAGTATTGTGGGAAATCCTTTGTGATGATCCGGCAGATACGCTTCTTCTCCAGGTCTGCTGTTTTGTCAAGCTCTGTAGAGTACACAAGTATTCATATTTTACAGAAGCAAATAAAAACTAGCATTTTTAATTTCCTGAAGGAAATGTTAGTGGTTTTTGCCTATGCAAAAGTTGGCATCATGATGCTACGGTCCTGCAGTGGTGATAAATGTGTTGCTATGTTGTTGTAATGAATGTGTAACCCAAATGTTCATTTAATTTCAACACATTTGTGTATGGCACATGCTGTCTCTAAATTGTATTGTCTGTAAATATCTATGTATTATATCAGACATTGGCCTTCCTGCCTTCTATTGCCATCACCTCTGAAAAACTCACGTCCATCGAGCACTAATCAACACTCACTATAGGCTTGTCTGAATCTCATCGTGCACTAGCAAGGTCAGTAACAGTGCAAATTTAACAATCATCATTTTACCTTCATCCATGCCATTGAGGAGCTCAATGAGGTCTTCAGACTTGCAGTCATAATGATGCTCTTTCCAGGTCTCACCGTTTTCGCTCCTTAACATAATGAGCTCTCGCTCTTTCCCTCTCATGGACCCAAAATGAGGGATCTCCACAATCACAGGGCTGTGAAAACACATTGCAAGCCTTTATCAGTGGAACCTCTCAGACTAATAAATGTGAGACGACGAGATACACAAATGCTGATGATGACTTTAGTAAATGTCGATGACGAACATTCATGGAACATTAGTGCAAAAGAGGGGCACTTGGCAAATGCATCTGATATTAATACAGGTAAACTTTAGTGGTTTCTATTATGAACCCAAGAGGACAGATGCAGAAATGATTTTATCAGTGTTTTAGTTTAGCATAACGTTTTTTGTTTTTTTTTTACCAAGCGTCACTGCTTCATGCTTTGAAATTAAATCTTTCAAACACCAAGTCAGATGCAAAATAAAGATGCACAAAATCCTATTCTTGTTTTTTTATTTTCATTAAAATATCTAACAAGATAAATTCACTTTCAGACAGCATAGTTTATAAAATATATTTTAAAATATCTTGTGATATTTCAACTTGAATACACCGTAACAGTAATAGTGAGATAACATTAAAATAGATGAACAGATGTTTAAGACCAAGACAAGGCTTGATTAAGGAAATTTGTAAATTTGGCAAAAAAATGCCCTTTTGAAACAAGCAAAACACCTAAATAGAGCAAAACAAAACAATCCTAAAATTAAGCAAAACAATTGCCAGTGGGATAAAATAATTTAAGAATTCTTTAAACAAGCACTACAGTATATTTAGCCAATGGAAATATGAATTGACCATAAAACTAATCAGAAATGCTTATAAAATGATCAATCGTTAAGCAACCTTAGTGCATCTTAAGAAATTATAAGTTCAGAAATTAACTTATGTGGTCTTATTTCAAACATTATATCTAATAATATATTCTTATTTCACAGAGTCATTGCAAGGTTTCCAATACAATTCAACTGGTAGAACACGGTGCTAATAATGCTGAGATCAAGGGTTTAATTCCCAGGAAACACATATGCTGACAGAATGTGCACTTCAGGTCAAATGAGTACATTTAAGTTAATCGGTCTTAGATTATAAGTACAAAACCCATCAAGGTGGATAAAAGTGCGAATGCTATTCATTTCTTTATTTAAGACAATCTTACATTAAGAATTTGCTTCTTATTTTAAGATTAGTCTATATTTGTTTTCCTTATTCAAGATGCAAATGCTCAAAACAAGGTGAATCATTTTAATTGCATAACTGCAGTCTTCACAGTAATTCTTTATTTTTTCAGTTCATTTTTAAGCATTTCTGTCTAGGTTTAAAAGCAATTCATATTATTTGTGGCAACAAATTTATGTTTCTTTTGCATATCCCATTGGCAGGTTCTACTTAAGGAAACTCTTGCTGTATTTTCTATTTAAGTGAGACTTGCTTGAATTAAGATGGGCATTTTCTGCAGTTTGGGGCATTTACTAAAAATGAATTTGTCAACGCAACTATTACAAATGAAATGCGACCTGTTCTGGCCAGTACATTATAGGCCCTATTCTAATATGGAGCAATTAAATCGAATAGCTCATGTTACACAATGGATAAAAACAGTAACATCAGACGTGGAATCATGGAAGAAAACATTTAATGTGTAGACAGAGAAGGTACCATGGAAAATTTCATGCCTGAAGGCTCCAGACTCAGACCCACTAGAACTGTGAGTTAAACAGGGCATATTAGACACTAAAAGGCCTAATCCAAATACAATATAAACTGCTCAAGAATATTCTGAGAGTGACCCTTCACTTAAATAAACACTGATACCTTCTCTAAAACTAAAAGGTCAAATGAAACTCTCTCTTAGCATAAAAACACAGGGCTAAGGCAGCAGCCATGACTGCAGACACTCATGCTCACCAAGCACTGCATAACCAGCCCAAACAGCCAGTATGAGTCACTTTCAGCGATGTGTACATTCACTGAAAGCTAAAAAAAGGAAAAGGTGTAGATGAACGTAAAGGAGGAAACAAAGGAAACATCAGCTATGGCGTCAATAAAAGTAGTAGTTGAAATCAACATGAAGTGCTGTGACTTCACTAAGCACACATTCCTACCCAGAAAATTTTGTTCCCAGTGGCCCGAGCTGCAGGATTCGGCTAATGTAGCTCTCGCTCTCGCTAAGAGGGGGGAGTTTTCGAGGTAGATGGAGTTTACTGAATTATATCCATGCAGCATTTAGAGGAACAAAAAGGAGGAACAACTTGTCATTCCTGCAGGATGGGAGACTAGCCCTAGCGTTGTAATGTTTTAGTGAGCTATTGCTCACCCTGTTCCAAGTACAGCGGCTTGTTCCAAAACCTTGTGAGCTTTCTTGCATCTACCATGCACCCAAAATGACATGAGTAAGTTATTTGGAACACTCACAGGCAACAACTCATATGTACAAACAGGGCCCAGGAGACTCGACTAACAATTTATTTTCAGCAGGGTTTGCCGTTAGCCTGCTGTAAATCTAACAGCGTGGTGCTCTAATAAACATAAAATACATCAACACACAAACAATGGGTAAAACAGTACATTTTAATTAGTTTGGACTATTTTTATTGAATACATTTTCTCTAGCTTTGTCCAATGGATTCTGGGATTGTATTCTTCATGAGGAAGGACAGATTTTTGGCCAAAACGTAATAATCTCTGAAGGTAGCAATCTTTCTTTTTTTTTCTAGAACATGCCTAGGACACCTTAAGGCAAGGCACTACAAGCAAAGCTATTTATTTTATTTTATTATTAGAATTTTTAATGCAATGGTCTATTTTGTGATTTTGCTTCCAAAACATTCTTTCAGACTAATGCAAAGAAAAACTTGTTTTAGTACACTTGATCTGCTTGCATCTTTAGAATTCATTCAACTATGACTCAATATGACTTCTATTTTTTTCTGATGCACTGAGCCGGAAATCTCCAATTCAGTGGCACTTACAAACTTTAGTTTTATTCCTAACTATATTCTGAAGGGATTATGATGAGGGTTTCATATATCTTTTGTTTTATTTATATAACATTTTATTTCTAAAAATATGGTGCTTTTTTTCTGGCTGTTGAAAGTATTTTCTGATTTATAAGAGTGAAAAAAAAAAGATATCCAAAATCCTGTCTGTAAAAATTCTTTAATATGTCAACAAAATTACATTATCCAAAATACTTTATCCAATGTTCAGATTTCTGTTCTGGAAATGAATGCAAATTAATGCCTACATAATTAGATAATGAATATTTTGCTTATTAAAAAATATAAAATCAGAAAGCATAATTCAAAACAATTGTCTTAAAGGTATATTTCACCCAAAAATTAAAATGTATTAAAAAAATATTATTTACTTACCCTCAAGCTGTTCCAAACCTGTATGAGTTTGTTTCTTCAGCTGAGCACAAAAGAAAACCAGTTGATGGCAGCCACTGAATTCCATAGTAAAAATACTGTTTGATTATCTTCTTTTGTGTTCAGCAGAAGAAAGAAACTCATACAGTTTTGGAAGAACTTGAGCATGAGTAAATGACAAAATATTAGAATTTTGGCTGAACTATCCCTAATGCACTGTGGTTAACCAATAGGGGAAAGTATGATGATAGCTATCTAAAAATAAAAATGATTACCCAATTCACCTGTGGTGCCTGGCCTTAAAATTTTGTCTATGTAGCCAGCTCACAAAGTTCTAGAACAGAGCCAATATGTGTCATTTTAAAACACTTATTACTAAAATGGTGGAGCTCTTTCAGCAGTCCTCAAGATATTTACTAGGGAACTTTGATGACCTGCAGGATCCCATTGTAGGAAATAGAGTTAAGGAGAGGGTAAAGTCAAGGTGCTTTACTTGTATATTGCTGAGTCAGTGTCACGTAACAGGGCACTGGCATGATAACAGTGATGGGCAAAGCCGCTCTGTGTCACTGCTGAAACACTTCACCAACACACACTACCAAACACAGATGGTTTCCATGGAAATGATAAGAAAAAGCCATGAAGGTGAAACCTACCCCAGAAACTGAGCCCCCGCTGGGCCCACCTCCACCAGCCGGCTCGCCAGCCCCTCTCCCTCCACCATGGGCGGCAGGGATGCCAGCTTGTGTCTCTTGACCAGACGGCACGTGATACGTGTTGGCGCGGTGCACTTGCGGGGTGGGATGATGATGCGCATGCCATTGTGGCGACTCCCTCGCATGGAACCGCCGCGGGCATCCACCATGAAGCTCACCAAAAACCTGTGGAAGGAAAATTATCCAATAAGAGAAGATAAAGAGAGATTCAGCATCTTACAGGCTCTCAGAGATGAATTGTCCCATGCTGTGACAAAAACACACTCACAAACAAATTTCAGAGAGAAAATCAGAGAAGAAGAAGTGATCTGGAATCATTCCATGCACCTGGTGAGAAGTTAGTGAGGTACACAATGTTGGTCGGATATTTAGCCATTGTATTAACCAAGACAGTTACAATTAGTTTACAGTAAAGGATCAGAATTAAAAAAAACTGTTAACGTGTTACATTGTAAATCTTTTATTTGTATTTGTATTGCTAAAACTTAAAAATTTTAACATTATAGTATATACTGTAGAATAAAAAACAATAAATGACAATGATATACATGTGTACAGTAGGTCTTATGGCTTGTGAAGATGTTATCAAATAGTGATCTATACTGATATATTGGCCTGGGCTGCGTTTCCCTAGGAGTTGAGTTGAGAACAGCAACACAAACACAGGGAGGATAAACTGTGATCACATGATCAACCGTCACCTGTTGTCATACTGAAGGGGTGAGGGAGAAACGCTGCAAAGAAACAAGTGGAAATAGGGAACATGGAAATACTTTAATATTAGCACTAACACATTTTAATGTGATTTTAAAACACTGAAATGCAAGAAAATAACTCAATTCGGCACTCGTGTGATGTGCAAATGTCCAAAGCACATTCACAAAAAGCCGCCTTTCATACAGCGTGCAAATACTGAATTGAGTTCTCTTTCGCATCTTCTTGCACTTGACTTCACAAATGCCCACAAAATTATATCAAAATATGTGACCCTGGACCACAAAACCAGTCATAAGGGTCAATTTCTTGAAACTGAGATGTATACAACACCTGAAAGCTGAACAAATAAGCTTTCCATTGATGTATGGTTTGTTAGGATAGGACAATATTTGGTCGAGATACAACTTGTTAACAGGATCAAAGGAAGCAAAGTTTCCTTACTAGTCTCCTCTTGGCTTATATCGAAATCCTCTGACATTCTTCTTTACAAATCCTCGTTTTGTACTTCTAATTAGTGATTGTTGTTTTGTTTTGATCTCTCCCCTTCGCTTCCGCGTGTGTCACTTCTGAGCGGCGTATGCGCAACGCTGACCTCATACGTCATCCGCCCGGAACTGCTTCCAGTGTACAACAGTGAGCGCAAGCTGCATTAAAGTGATTATTACGTTTTGAATATGGATATTTTTCTTACAAAAACACATCGATTCGAACTAACCCTTTAAGACTGGTTTTGTGGTCCAGGGTCACATATCCTCGTAAACACAGTTGGTTTTGTCTGAAGTGATGTAAACAGTTGAGAAAGAAAAGGTGTAACATGTGTAACAGTAAATTAGAACTGTGCTTTAGGTCTTAAAGTGATAGCAGCCTAATACTCCAGCTGCTGTCTGTCCCACAGAACGCACGGAATAAATATGTTTGATATCTAAATGTTTGACTTGATATCTAAAACTAAGAATCGGAAATGATAAGCATGATTGGAATCGGAATCACTAAAATTCAAACAATACCCCACCCTACCCCCAATTCCCTGTGGTATTCTGGTCCCTAGAAACGGATCCGTCATGTAATGTATGTATGTAGGATTTTTTCGGTTTTCATCTACCAAAAATCAGAGTAAAAGCACACTTCTACAGTGTCACAAATTAGATATAATTTGCACTGAATTTTGAAGCAAAATCAAAGAACGAACTGGTGTGATGCCTTTTTGAACAAAATCAGGCCAAAAAATGAAGTCCGTTTCACAAGCTCAAAACAGCTTGCTAAGGTGAACTTTTTGAAAAAGTTTGAAGTATAAGAATAGTAGTGGTGATGTTGGCTTTACCCTGAATGGATGGGGCTGGAGGCCAGGTTCACGTTGTCCAGAGTGTCTGGCGTCCAGCTATAGCGTCTCATTGAGTCTGCGTTGTAATCTTTTGCTAAAGCCAGGTGCTGAAACACAAAACAAGCTTGTTCAGAACTGAACATACTACTCATATTTCCATTCACTGCGGTTCTGTGGTGAACCACGGTAAACGGCCAGTGCTTTCACAGTCCTCTCATATGAGACTGAGACTCTGCACTCTGCTATTAACAGCTCAACCACACAATTATCACCTCGTCTTGTGGTTGATGATGACAATCACAATCAACAAAACAACATGCAGGAGAAGTATTTCTAGGTGGTTCAAGATAATGGAAGAAACCCCCTGATGCAAGACCAAAACAGCCAAAACAATGTGAAAAGCTAAGCTATAAAAATTCAACAGATAGAGAGAGGAAAGAATCTGGACGGAAAAGCAGGACATAAAAGAACAGTAAATGCATCTTGTGGAGCAAAGCTCATGTTTGCCTGCATTGGGTTGTGGATTAAGAAACAATGCAGAATTCCTCAATGCATTTAATACCTTATAATGAGAGTCAACAAGGGTGGGCATTTCTCTACAGACCCCCTGAAGCGTTTGAAGAGAAGAGACAGATTCTGAATCACTCCAAATGCACTGATCAACAGTGATAGACAAAATGACTTCAAGATCCTTAAAAATAAACTGGAACTTTTCACTCTCATCATATATTTTACTGTGTGAATAGTGCTGTAATAAAATCATTTCTGCAATTTCTGGATTTTTTTGGCCAATCAATTCTTTATTTGCATACTCAGTACTCAACTTTACGTGCCTACTGCATAGTCAAGTATATTTCTGGCCTTTGGTGTGCTTTGTACTTTTGGTTTAGTAAACTTCACAGAAATCTCCCATTAACTTACATTATTTGACTTTTTATCACTCAAAATATACAGATATTAATATTGATTATGCCACTGTCCTATTTGCATACTGAATTGTGATTGGCTCTTATCAAACATCTGTGTTACCTCTGTGTTAAAAATCTGTAAATGCAGATAATAAAACATTATTCAAATTAAAGGCCACTTAAGTGCACTTAAAGTACACTTTTCTCACTATTATCATTTAAACTGTTGTGTATTTTTGAATATTCCATTTTATTATTTATTAAATGTACTAAATTGCAACTGCATTATTACAAATGTGTAGTAACAAATATATTTAAATACATGACGTACAAGTTTCAATAGAAATGTCACAATTACAATTTAGGTATTACAATGCTTGTCAGTTCATTCAGCTATATATTTTAACCATATTCCAAAGACAATACAAGTAATTATGATATTACATATAAAGATATGCTTAAGTTCTACTAGTCTCAAAAAGCACAGTTCAACTGTTAAATTATAATATAATATAATAATATGCAACTATAATAGTATTTTTATTTACTTGTAAATTAAGTGCAATTAAGTGTCCATAAATATTACATTCAGTTACAGTACATATATTCTTTTAAATAATTTTTTTACTAGAGTTTTGAAGTATATTAAGTACTCTTTTTATTAGGTATGATAAAGCGTACTTCTTTTCACAAGGGAAATAGTTCATAAATGGGACTTAAGTCTCAAATCAATCTTTCTGTCTATAGATTTGAAATTGAAACTTTAAAAAAAGAAGAAAAAATAGTTTAACCAAAGAAATTAACACTAATCTATTACGAACACTAACACTAATACACCACACCATCGTGATTTGCTATATACATTGATACTGAACAATTATCGTATTCACATTTTATGGTGTATATACATGGTACTTCAAAAAATACCATGGCACTAACACTCTTTTTTTGTTAGTGAGGATTTGTATTCCTTGAGGAAATGAGAATATAGTTTAGAGTCAGGTATGCTGAGTTGAATTGGTGCAGAGAACATTATGGTCTGGGTGCTTTTAATTGCTCGAATTCACAAATTATGAACTTCCACATGATATAAAACTCAAAACACCTCAAAAGACAGCACAAAGGCAACACAGAATCTGAAAACTCAAGGAAAAAGAGGGCGTACCGTGTCCTTGTTCGGTGCCAGGATCTCTTCAATCATCATGCTGTCACGGGTGAAGGAGCTCCGGTTGAGTGTGTTGGACCTATCCAAACTGAAGGAGCGCAGACTGTTGGCATTTACATTAATACCATACAGTGCGGGGGAGTGACAGTGAAATACACACAAAACACACACACACACAAAACAAAAACACTCATTAATGCATGCAATTTCCAGGGAAATTGATTCACAATAGCCAAAACAGGGATCAAACCCTGTACATTTGTAGTGGTGTGATTGGTTAGACATTGAGAGAAAAGAGGAGAATAGATGCTTAGATGAATTATTTGTAATGACTGAATGAATGAGACACAAATGTGTGCCAGACTGTTTTTCAAAACTATGCAATTGGTACTTTGTTAAACCCCATTGTTAGTAACACATTATTAGACTTTTGCGCTTTTATAAAGTAAATATACAGTATAAGGAGGATCTGTGTGTTTTGATCAAATGGAGATTTATAGAAATTAACCAAAAATATGAAAACATTTTATTGCCAAAGGACTTGTAATAGTTGGAGAGAATAAACATGGTACTTATTTCCTTTCCAAATCTTTAAATACATGCAGAACATCAGTAAGAACATCTATATTTACTTCAAATTAAATACTTATAACCTAAATCTATATTTGCTTCAAATTAAATACTTATAACCTAACATGATTTCATTTATGCGTTGATTAGCCACTGTGGTAGAAATGCACAGATTTAAAAAAATTCTATCCAATACAATAAGTTGATCATATTAATAATGAGTCTATAATGTTGGTTGATTATCTAACAATTTTATGATTTTGTATAGATAAAAAATAAAGCACTTTAAAATACTTTTAAATATTTCAAGTGAATTTAGGCATCAGCATTATAAAGTACGATAAAGATATAGATTTCCTAAAAGTGTTATTAATTCATTAAATTAAAATAATTAAATTATTAGCGTTTTTAAAGATCAACTTTAGATAATGGTAAAAGTAATCTAAATGTAAAAATAAAGGGAAATGAGCACAAGTAAATAATATGCAACACCATTGAAATATATCCAAAATCAGCCAATAGTGATAAACTGAAAGATTATAATGCTGTGCATCATTGAAATGCATTCATTCCAGCATATAAGAATATTACATAAGAATAATATACAGTACATTTTTTACTGCTCTTTGAGCACATTTAACAAAAAATTAATTAAAAATCACTCTGTTAAAGAAAACCTACCATTCATATGAGACATTCTCTAAAGCTGTTTGAGAGTAACAGTAAATAATAGAACGGAGCTAGCAAATGGACAATTATATAAAACTGTACTGAAGCTAAAACAGATCTGGAAGTTGTTTATTGTATCTTGACTTCATTTCTATTTGCAGTAAGGCCAGGTGCATTAATGCAGACTGAGCTAACATGCGAGTGCTCTTTCCAAAGGCTATGCCCAATTAGAAATCAATATGACGCGGGTTCTCAGTTCACAACAAAATCTGGCACTGCCTGACTGCCAAAGGAGAATCTGTTTCTTGTGAGCATGTACTGTGAGTTTCTGAGTTTGCAGATTTAAATGGATGAAATTTGATTCAGCTGATGAGGCTCTTCGTGCATCCCTGGAAGCTACATTAAGAAACTATTTTGTACAGTAACTGGACTCAAGGGGACAAAAACTCAAATGTTTACGACAATCAAACCTGAAAAGAAAAAGAAAAACTCGACAAATCAGGTTCACACACCAAACCTAAAATCGAAATGAAACCATAGTCCACAGACAGCAAGAATGTGTATACTTCATCAAATGAAAAACAATGTACAAAGCACGGTACACAACAATGTTCCATGGTTTCAGAATGACTCGGGATACAGGATGGAAAGGGTCGGAAGCATCATGCCCTCTTACCTGACTTTAGGACTATGGTGATTATTTGGAATGGAAGAGGAAGAACAGAGGAAATTGAAGGCAACAAATCAGAAATGCAGTGGCTGAATGAGTCTGACTCTCATGTCTGAGGCTGCATTGTGCTGTACTCTTACACACACTAATTAACTGAGGCTTTACTCTTTAATCCATTAGGACGTGATATTTCGCATATGTAAAGAAAAGAACACAGACAGGATGCCCTAAACACGAAAGAAGTTATCACGAAGTGTGTCTATACCTCAAGCGATTCTCTGCATGACAACTGAACATCACTTCCCCAACACTTGTGCTTTTATGATCATACAGTTATGTTTATGGTGCTGCTACATTTGTTATTCCTTGCAAAACTCCAGGTCCTGTGTCAGAATCCCATGACTCCCATGAGATGAGTAAATGCAATGTGCTGTATCTCATTTCACACCCGAAGAGAGCGTTTCTTAAAGGAACAGACACAAAGAACGGCCAATTTATTTCATAAAGCATTTATACAATATATATATATATATATATATATATATATATATGGCTGATAATTATCTAATTATCTTCCAGCTACTTATACTACTTTACTTTAATTTATAATACTTTATCTAAAAATCAGAATATAAAAACACTAAAAACTACAATAAATAATTTTCTAAATGAAAAAAAAAAAGGAAAAATAATAGTAAGATATCAGAAATTGAATAAAAAATTAAAAATGTTAACATTTTGATTAGTCAATGGCCATGATTCATTAAATATAGGCATTTAATATTGGGCAATAATTATCCAATACTGGACTATGCTAATAAATGAATAATAAATAAAAACATAATATATAATAAATAATCATAAATAATAAAACATAATAATAAATCATAATAAATGAAAAATATCAGTCAAAAAACAATATGATGAATGCCTAAAACATGGTATGACCTCTTTAGAGAATAAAGCAAAAAAAGAGTCACGTGGCAACATATGACATCCAAACCAAGCACTGCGACATAATTTACTTTCAAAACATAAAATCTGCTTTTACACCATAATGTCAAGTCATTAGATAAAAAGTGTTCTCTCAGTGACAAATGCTGTTATTGAACATGATTGTAATTTCCTGTTTTGTGGCTTGCGTGTACAGTACTGTGAAATCTCACTCAACCCTTTCGATTATTGAATGCGGTCAAACTTCTGTTTGTTGGAGGGAAAATCCCCTGAAGCGAGTTACATGTAGGTTAGCTACGGCCTTCTCACTCAACAGCACATGGTACTGAATCAAAAGATGACAGCAGGCGGCCAACACACAATGTAAATAAACAGTGTACAGCCTCCAGATAAGACAGGAATCAGGAACTAACAGCTGACTGCTGCGGCCATGAATACTCTCCATTCAGAAACCAGATCTTTTAGATGATAGTTATTGTGAGCGAATATTCTTCAAGACATCTAATTTTGTTTTACAGGGGAAAAAACAGTCACATGGGTCAGGATCAACATGAGGACAAGCACAATTTGTGTGAACTGTCCCTTTAAATGGTCTAACATCTTCTCTTATCTTATGTGGTCTGTTAACCTGGTCCAACAGTCCAGATATTGTGAAATGCTGTCGTCCAAATACTTAATATATGTTTATTAATCCTAAACTATATTAGTAGTATTGATACTTACGTACAGCATGATTCCTATAGATGTACTGATGTTAAGAGTATGACTCAATTGTCAAAACTTCATGACTCAGAACTTATGGGGTTTGAACCTAAAACCTTTTACAATTAAAAATATTTAGACCTAAATTTATGTATTTAAATTGCATATCAAATTTCCGTAATTTCTATTACAAGAAATGAAATAATAAACTTTGTGATGCATATTTGTCAATCTGCACTCACAATAAATAAATAAATACATAAAACAATCAGTTTATTATTAACTATTTGCATTAATTCGATTTTAAGTAATCGAATTTTCAAAATAAATTGATTTGGGTTTTAATTGTTAAAACAATTACATTTATTCAGTAAAAAAGCATGAACATGATTAAAATATGGCTAACAAGAAATATTTAATTAGTTAAAATGGATGAGATTTAAATAAATTGATTTATTCATGCTAAAAATATAAACCTGGTTATTGTGTATTTAAAACAAATTCATTTTATTATTATTATTATTATTATTATTAATTAAATCCTACCTGTTTTATTCATGTATGACTGACAAATGAGCATCACATTAAGTTTATTTGTTAAAAACAATATAATTCTAATGGATGGAAAAATTATATGCAATTCAAATACATAAATCATAACTTTAGGACTGAATATTTTTTGAGCGCTGTAGCACCTACAGCTCTACATGGAGTATATCATGCTGAAAACAGTAATAGATGAAGTGTAATTTTCACTGTTTAGACGTCACTGTCTGCATGTGGTGAGGGTATGTTACCTGGCCGTTCGGGCTCCGACGCTGAATCCCACGTATCCTTCCTGAGGGAGAGAGTCGTCTCCGAGCTCTCGCAGGTCTTGCGGTCCCAGGTACTTGTCCGTGTCTCCTGTCATCGCATCCTCACCTGTCAGCAAAAGAAAGAATTACTACACCCTTCAGAGAGACACTGACCCTATAAAGTCAACATGAATGACATTCAAAACCCATTTAACTTCCGTCATGTTTTCCATTTTTCTTTGAAAAAATGTGCACCAATGAATCATGGGGAGTGAGATGAAGTAAATGGGGTACATTTTGATTTCATGTTGGCGTTAAGAATGAATGGCTGGACCAAAATGCCCCACACCAATCCCACAATCCCGCAGCAGTCACTGGCACACTTCCCGAACTCTTTCATAGCTGCAGATTCATGCAATTTTTGTTTCGATTATATTATTATAAGTCAAGCAAGGCACTTAGAGAACATCAAGACCATATGTTGCAGCTCGCTCGTGGTGACCATAAATCTGTTTTTAATATGCATCCCTGACAAGATGGATTCAAACAGGCCATCCATCCTCAGAAGCTGCAGTTAATGGACACTACAGCAGAGCAGCAGTGAAGTGGGTCGCAGAAGCAGAGAGAGGAAGACTAGAATGCAGAGAGAGGAAGAGGAAGGCTACGGTCGCGCTGCAAGGAAAAGCCCCCAATTATGATTTTATGAATTTTGAGGAGAATTTTCACATGACCTACATGCTAATACTAATACTTATAATCTATGAATATATATTAATCATTTCTAATAAATACAGTAAAATATAAATATATATAAACATACTTACATTAATATAAACATATTTTACATAAGATTACAAGATTTATATTAAACATATATTAAAGAAAAAATATTTATATGTTTCTGTATAATACATAATAAAACTAATAAATTATTTGATCTAAAGGCATCTATAATACTATAATACAAAAAGACCATTTCAATACAATATACAAATAACGGCAAGAAATATGACCAATCATAATCCAGCATGCAAATAGATCATGTCATCACATTTTGTACACTGACAAAAATTTCGCAAACAATTACAAAGAAAGGGCAAGTAACACATTGAATTAAAAGTGACATTTTGTAGTGGAAAAACTAATATTGTAAAATAGAACACTCTTGCAAAACCCTACACCAATAATCTTGTTTTTTTACAACTTCAAAAAAACATTTACAGTATATACCTAATATAGCAAAAATGACAATTTAATCCTAAATTTCTTTAAAAAAACATTTAGTTAAAAAAGAAAGAAAAAAAGAGTATAAACGTATAAACAATATAACAGTAAAATTACATTGTAAAAAGTTGTAAAGAAAAAAAAAAATCTCACCCATTAAAATGTATTTGTATGTATAAATCGATGTATATACTGTAGCTTGGTTCAGTTAAATAATATAAATAATAATTTTAAATAATATTTTTGACCAGTTAATTTACATGTTACCAATTTTTTGTACTTCATAGCTTAAATTATACACAAACCAAAAAAAGTCTGAATGTCTGTTTGTTCTTTTGAACGTTGAATGTCTGTTTGGGCTGAATTAAATTCATAAATTCATAAACATTTAAGGTTAAAGATTTAGAACAAACTCTAGCAAGAATGTATGATCAGTGTTGAATCAGATTTATTTCCACTTTTGGAAGTGGCCCAGAATTAACATAATTAGTTTTCTGTTCACACTGTCATTCACAAAACAGCTCCGTCATATAATGTTTACATAAAACCATAATTGGGCCACATTCAACTATGCTGTGAATGCAGGTTAGGAGAGAGATTGGGGAACACCTCCCCCCAAAATCAGCCCCAATGAACTGCAACTTTCACTCTCTTTCAAGCAAATACACACACTGATTAAATTGTGAAATGTCCTAAAAAGAAACCCAAATCTGTTCTGCCTCTTACACAATAAAAGCAATTCACTAGCACCCTGAACACTACCACAAGTTAACAGGTCAGCAAAACTTTTCTAACAAGTGGTGAGTGAACATAGCACACGAGATCATTAGAAATTTTACAGCCTTAAAAAGAACATTTACTTTAATTATGGATGTCCCGAAAAAGTTAAAGCAAACTTCTGGTCACAGTTTTGTAAGTAAACTTAAACACACAGACACAGATATCCTCTTTCTCACACTTCGGCTTCCCTACCACTTCCAAAACTATTGTGTAGTGTGTTTTTGCACAGCGTGATCGAATCAGTAACAGCCATTCGTGATAAACAAGATCTCTTACACTGAACAGCCAAATCCATCCTTCATCTTCACACCAGCTTTAAAAATATTTACAGGTCCTCTTTTATTCCCAGAAGCCTCACTTCCTCAATCCGGTAAACTCCAAATGGCACGATTACTTCCACATGTCCACTACGGCCCTGTCCACAGTGTCTGAAACGATCCAGTTGCCTCTGTCTGTGCACACACACACACACACACACACACACACACACACCTCTGCCGCGGCCTGACAGGACGTTCAAATGGCGAGGGGCCGGCGCGAGTCTGATCTGTGTGAGGTCATCGCGGGAGCGAGGTAACACTTGAGGCAGTTTCAGAGCGAGTGTGGTGATCGGATCTCGGCATTGCTCTGTGTAATCAGACCCTGTTCAACAGAGGGACAACAAAAGAGCCCTTCTACAGGCAGCAGAACAAATAGTAAAAAAGGAGGGAGACCAACGGAAAAAGACCGCCTGCCACCTGACCGCGGCCCCCCGGGAACAGCGTGCTTGAGCTGCCAGAGTACAAACTCTAGGAACTCACAATCCTGAATCACTGAACACATTGCGACACCTGTTAATAATCCCTGCAAGTTTAAAGTTGGCATGAAATGAAAAATCACTTTTTTCGAAATGCATATTATAGAGATTATTGTAAAAATTCATTTGTGCATATGTTACATTTTTTATTGTATTTATTTATTTATTTTACCTCAGAATTTATAAGTTGTCACAACTGGACATTCCAGTGAAAACTACTGACTTCTCTCTGGTTACATATGCAAGACTTAAGCTCATGCTCATCTCCCCACCACTTCTGAGTGCCATGCCCACATCTCAAAATCCAATCAACAACCGATAAATAGAAACAAGTTATATATATGACTCAACGATATAAATGACTCATTCATTCAAGTTCCCACCCTACAATTTTTGTCTTTATAATCCATTACACTTTGATGTACGTCAAAATATGGAAGATCTGTCAATACTTTAGTTTCATTGCAAATTTAACATGTTACCGTAGAATACAAATTTTAGAGATTTGCAGAAAAATGCAGATCAGCAACTCATCTGATCTAGTTTTAACCCATTTTATCTTATTTTATAGTGTTATTTTAATACCCTTGCAGGTTGCATGCAAAAACCAACGAGCATGACCAGGGTATTCTCATTTTTTTGAATCAGAGAAAAAGACTCAAAAAATTAGGTGAACCCAGAATAAAGTAAGAACACAAGGCACAATTTCATGTTAAGCATTTTCCCACAGAAAAGTGATTGAAATAGTAATAGTAGGTGCTGTATATGGATGGCAAGTGCCCAAAACGTGCAGTTTGTTCAGATATCGTTGTCTTTCTTCTTTTGAGATGTGATCTAAATATTCATGGCTTGAAACACCTGGAAAATTGTGCTGCAGTTCTATGGATGTTAGAAAACTTTGAATAGTGCACTGAAAAAAATTATACAACTTTTATTATGGTAAGTGGTTGAAAACAATTTATTTGAGCTACATTTAAGTTGGTCAACTAAATTTGTTTATTTAAATGTAGCTAAAATAAATTGATTGCAACCACTTACCTTAAAGGAGTCCTATTATGCTTTTTCACTTTTTCAACTTTAGTTCGTCTGTAATGTTGTTGTTTGAGCATAAAATAGATCTGCAAAGTTACAAAGTTCAAAGTCCACTTCAAAAGGAGATATTTTATTTAACAGAAATCACTTTTCAAAAACTACAACGAACAACTAATTTGGACTACAACGCATATTTTCCGCGATTTGTCATATCACAAATATCGACGAATGGGATGAGACCTGGTTGAGCTGCACTAGAGAAGGCAACGAGTGTTGCCGAGTTGTGCCAATCACAACACAGCTAACCAATCACAACACACACTGGCCCAGCTAACCAATCACAACACACACTGGCCCAGCTAACCAATCACAACACACACTGGCCCAGCTAACCAATCACAACACACACTGGCCCAGCTAACCAATCACAACACACACTGGCCCAGCTAACCAATCACAACACACACTGGCCCAGCTAACCAATCACAGCACATTTCATATTTCAGAAGGTGGGCCTTCATTTGATACAGGAACTATTCGAGCCGTTCATGCCAGACTGGGGAGAGAGGTGTTGTAATAATGGAAAATATGTGAAAAATATTCACATGTGAAAATATGTGAAAAAAATGTTTTTCGAACAACTTAGTATGAGAGCCTGTTCTAGTACACCCCAAAACAAAATCAAGACTTGTAAAAAGAGCATAATAGGACCCCTTTAAAAAAATGTAGTAAATTCAATGAATCACTTTTTTCAGTGTGGCATATTAGAGTGAAAAGAATGCTTAAGCTTCTCAAACACCTTGACTCAAGATTACAGAAAAATTGTGCATGGAAAAAATTATGTATAATAGACGCTGCAATAACTTGTGCTCAATAAGATCAAGAAAATGTGTATTAACAAAATAAATATGTTCAATTTTGATTTTCTATTGACAGATAAAAGCATGTGCTAAAGAAAACGTAAACATAGACTTTAAATGTAAGACACTGGTGCTGTTTGCCTGGGATCTGAGTTATTAGTACTGCACCTCACGCCCGGATAAACAGAGCTGAGCTCTTTCACACTGCCAGAGAGAGAGCCAGAGAATCAGATGGAAAAAGCGAGCAGCGTCAGCAATGGCAAAAGGTTTTTTGCCAAACAGACGTTTGCATTCAGTTACCAACTGGCGTTGTGAGCAGAATTGATTCATCAGTTTTTTTGTCATCCAGCTAAAAGATAATGTAAAGGAGACACTTTCATTCAGGAAATAAATGACAGAATGTTGAGGTTATATTCATGTGACCACGTGTATTCAGGGCACAGGGGTGTAATATGTACTGTAAATAAGAAGCCATGTGAGTTATGTCAGTTATGCCTCGGGAGTATGCAGGAATATCAGTTTACCGTAATTAAACACCATGTTCCAGTCTCTACAACACACACACACACACACACACACACACAGGTTTAATGAGGGCTGTATTCTTGTTACACTATATTCACCACATGTCCTAACCCTAACCCTAACTATATTCACCACGTCAGAACTGTTGAAGGTTTCAGACAGCATGTTACGCACAGCTATAAACAACGAAATGCGACCAAAATATCACAGAGACTAGAAGGTGGATTCTTTTGATTTGGGCAAGTAAGAAAAGGCACAGCAATGCCCTAGCAACCACATAGCAACACCCTACACTCTTAAAAATAAAGGTGCTTCACGATGCCATAGAATATTTTTAAGAGTGTAGCACCCTTTTTAATTCTTGATATGCATTTTATCAAGTATTAAATGCATTCATAACCCTCACGTTACAGTATGAAATAAACAGATACACAAAATTGTCATTCATGGCACTGACTGGAAAACTTCTATTCAATCCTTTTAGCTTACACTGAAGCTCTGTGGGTTCTGACTGCAAAACAGAAACAAACTGAGCCAAAGAAACGTCTGTCGGAATATCTAACAACCAAGACTTCTGAACAAAACTATCCTTCACATAGAGGCTGGATTTACAAAGAGAGTATGTGTGAAATTGTAATTACACATACAGTTGTTAATAGAATAGCAAACCCCAGATTTAATATATGCAAGCCAACAGAGATTTGCATATTGAAGAATTTCATTTTCATAAAGAGTAGCCTAGCAACTAATACAAAGCCAGCAAGAGATAGCCATGTTGTGAAAAGAATCTATAACAGAAAAAAGACCGAATAAGAAGATCTGGTTAGTTGGAAAACGTGAAGAAAGAAAGAAACAAGCAGGTGCTATAAGAACAAACCACACAAAATAAGAGATACCTTCGTCAACATCTGAAATATAGTCCTCACTGAGCATTTCAGGTACATTGGCTCTACGAACTGTGTAATTTAAATGAAAAATGTTAGAAATAATATGTAAATGAACAAAAATAAACTTAAATGAAGACAAAAATAGACCAGAAACATATGAAACCTTGTTTACCTTCATCATCTGACATGTCCAAAAACTCATTCATTGTTTCTGGAACATTCAATTTATGTTTCTCCGTCACTGTCTGCAAAAACAGCAAAAACGGCAAAAAACAAAAAAAACAGAAATAAGTGACAATAAATGATGTGGCTTAATTTTGCTTTGCATCAAATATAAAGCATGCTTATATTATTAGTATGTAGCATTGTTTTTTCCTGCTATCTGTGACTCTATCAGAACAGACCTGCTACCAACTTTTGTGTTGCGATCCACTGTCTGAGAACCACTATATTAAAGCACAATAACACCTGGTGTACGGTATTGTGTGGAATAGAAAGTGTTATGACACAAAGTCCCTCACCACAGTAGTGTGCGTCTCCTCTGTCACGACTTTGAGCGTGTCAACCACAGAGATGTAACCCAGGCGCCTGGCAATAGCCAAGGCAGTGTTTCCATTCTGTAGGTTAAGGGAAAAAGAGCAATATTAATGAAATGAATGAATGAAAGAATGAATGGATAAATAAATAAATAAATAGATGTTTTAGAATATTAAGTAATTATTATGCAATTTATTACATACACAATTTTATATAATATAATATAATATACATAAAATTCTGAAAGGAAAAAAAGGCTAAATCAATGCAGTGGTGACAAATCACAGGGACATGTTCACATGTTCAAACTGAAGATAAAAATTAATTACCTACATTTTTATATTTGCTTCAGTAATAAAGTGAGTAATGCATGCCTGTGCAAGATGAAATCGAAATGGAAAAATTCCCGGAAAATTCCTGCCTGCTTTTTTGATGTAAGCCTAAAAAAAGTCTGAATGCTCAGAAAAGTAGCAGCAGACTTCTTCTTAACATGACTTGTGCATCTTGTTTGGAAGAGCTTGTGCTGTTGTGATGCACTCACCACTGTCAGCTCATTAGGAGAGGCTCCGTGCTGCAGCAGAAGGTTAATGATGTGTGTGTGACCCTGCTGAGCTGCCTGATGAAGAGGTGTGTATCCATTCTGAACATGAGAGACAAACCGAGTTTAAATCTGTATTTTGGACCACCAGCAATCATTAAAGACTGTTCTGTAACAAGAGACGGTTAAAGAAATGCAGTTCTTAAGCCTCAAGTATACTGCAAACTGCTTTCTGTGAGCATTACCTTAGTTTTGGCATTGACTTTAGCCTGGTTCTTCAGGAGGAAGTGCACCATCTTTATATTGCCATAGTGACAGGCCACATGCAGGGGCGTATATGCCATCTGAACCAGAACACAGAGACACACATTACTCTTAGACTTCTTTTTCCAGTCAAGCACGTGAATTATGCACACATAAAAAGACCATGAAATATTCAAAGAATGACTTAACATATCTAATAACACAATCACACTGTATTAATTGTCTTTTTCACATATAAACTTGATAACCCATAGTCATTTTTAGAGATTTGGAGATTTTAGAGATTTAGTCATTACTTTTGGATAGTTCTTTTTATAATAGAATATGAATATAAAAGTTCAAGTTCAAAGTCTCCAGATCATTCTTATGGGATTTTTTGTAAAGCTTTATTTTTCTGTACAACAGTAACTAAGAGGGTGGGGCTTAGCAGAAGTGTTAATTCACCACTAGAATTAATTTCTTGCTAAATGCCACACATGGGTATTAATGCATTTGTTCTTTGTCATTCCTCTGCCTCATTCCCTTTGCTCAGTGAGGGAGTGTTTTGTGTGGGTCATTGTGCTGTAGAGTATTGATCTGTGTGCTGCTGTCTGACTCACTCTCTCACCATCTGAGAGCCGTGCTGAACGACCTTGAGCCGGGGCCGCTCGATGTTAATACATGACTGACCAATGAGGGAATGGCCAGACATAGCATGCGGAGATGTGTGTGTGTGTCACACATCTATCTATCTACCCATCTGTCTGTCTGTCTTTCCGTTTTTCTAACTGTCTGTCTGTCCGTCTGTGTATTTATTTGATCAAAATCACAGTAAAAACAGTAAATTTCTGTGAAATAGTATTACAATTTCAAGTAACTATTTTCTATTTAAATGTATTTAAAAATGTAATTGATTTCTGAATTTACAGCATCATTACTCCAATCTTCAGTGTCACGTGATCCTTCAAAAATCATTCTAATATGCTGATTTTCTGCTCTAGGATCAATGTTGAAATCAGTGGAAAACCTGATGATTAGAGTTCAAAAGAACTGCATTTATTCGAATCAGGAATTTTTTGTAATATTACAAATGTCTTAACTCTAACTTTTGATCAATTTAATGTTTCCTTGCTGAATAGAAGTTTTAATTTCTTAAAAAAAATACTGACACCAAACCTTTACACTGTAATGTGTGTGTGTGTGTCCTAGTATTCCCTATGTCCCCACAAGTATAGTCACACCAGTTTTTTTTTTTTTTGGTCCCCATGAGGAAACAAGCCAATAAATCATACAAAATTATAATTTTTTTAAATCTAAAAAATGCAGGAAGTTTTGTGGGAGGGGTAGGTTTAGGGGTAGGGTGAGGGCAAGGGGATAGAAAATACAGTCTGTACTGTATGAAAACCATTATGCCCATGGACTGTCCCCATAAAATATGGACACCCAATTTGTGTGTGTGAGGTCATTACCTTAGTCTCTGGGTCGATTGTGGCACCATGATTAACCAGCACTTCTGAAACATTGACTTTGTCCTCTTGAGCCGCCAAGTGAAGAGGGGTCAGTCCACTCTGACACAGATATTCATTAACCAATTTAGTGACATAACCAAAGAGATATGACACATCATGCATAAATGAAGCAGCCATTAATCAACGTTGATAACACTTCTTAAAAGGATAGTTCACCCAAAAATGTAAGACGTTTGTTCATCTTCGGAACACAAATTAAGATATTTTTGATGAATTCTGAGAGCTCTCTGACCCTCCCATAGACAGCAATGTAATTACCACGATCAAGGTCCAGAAACGTAGCGAAGAGATTGGTAAAATAATCCATGTGACATCAGGGGTTCAACCTTAATTTTATGAAGCTACGAGATTACTTTTTGTACGCAAAGAAAACAAAAATAACGACTTTATTCAACAAATCGTCTCCTCCACGTCACCCTGGCACCATTTTGGAGAGTATCCACTGAACGTAAACAGCGTATGCTTTATTGTTGAATAAAGTCGTTATTTTTGTTTTCTTTGCATACAAAAAATTATCTCATAGCTTCATAAAATTAAGGTTGAACCCCTGATGTCACATGGATTATTTTACCGATCTCCTTGCTACGTTTATGGACGTTGATCGTGTTAATTACATTGCTGTCTATGGAAGGGTCAGAAAGCTCTCAGAATTCATCAAAAATATTTGTGTTCCGAAGATGAACGGAGGTCTTACGGGTTTAGAACGACATGAGGATGACAGAATTTTCATTTTTGGGTGAACTATCCCTTTAATAGCTGAGCTGAATATAACCATAATTTGACACTGGTGACCTTGAAGTCAACATGAAATGGCAACCACAACCCATTTTACTTCTGTAATGTGATAATTTCCGTAATGTGTTTAGTTTCATAATGTGACATTTTCAAGTCCAACTGAATATTCAATTAGATAAAAATGTAAAGCAGAACTTACATTTTATATATTAGGAATTTATTAGATCACAAAAAATTAAAAGTCAAATTTAAGAGCATCATATTATATATGTATATTAGGGATGCACCGATGTATCGGCCAATTTTTGATTATATTTTAAAGCCATCAACATATCGGAAATAGCATGAAAAGGGCCGATACCGATGGTTTATTAATTAACTGCATGGAGACAACGAGTTGCACGTCTGTTGCATAATCCAACGTTTTTCAAAATAATTAAATACTTGCCAAAACAAAATAAAATCTGTACAAAATATAGTTTGTCAGACGGCATAGTACGGCCTATGCAAACGTGACGCTGACGCATCCAACGAGTGAAATGCCCGCACTCAGCTGTAAATTCATCATAGGTAAGTCACATGTTTATCCGAGGATATGTCACGAACCGCCAAGCATTAGGCCTACATTTAAGTGAAAATGAATGGCCTAATATGCAGCTTTTTGTTTGAAACCAGTGTAGAACACGGATTCACACAAGGTCACATCAAGCACCTACAGCGTTTCTGTGAACGGAGAAAACAGAATAAAACTATATAGGCTACATAAAAAGGAATATAGGCCTATACACAAAATATATTTCACTTAAATCATTAACAGATTAACAAAACAAAAGAAAAAAAAATTGTGCTGAGCTTCGGATAATTGTAATGCGTTTCGAAGTTCTCGGAAAAAAAAAACGAGATGGCAGAAAGCCGTTTTCTTTATTTTGCAAAAGCTTTACAGTTTTGAATGATGTTTTTCTT